CGTACAGTCACATTGGGCATCGGATGGACACGTGGATTGTGCGGTGGATCGGGATCGGGATGGACGCAAGTGCACAATCGCACTGGGATGTTGCGGGATGGATTGTTTATATTGGCACGGCCAAGCATCGTTCGTGGGGGTGACGTGTGGGAGTAAGATCACACGCCGGAGTGTACGTACGGATGCTGACTGTCCGCCTTCCACCTGCAACACAAACGAATATCTAGTCAATCTCTACTGTGATTTGCTGTTCTCTTCTATTAGCGGTGTATGTGATGTCATAGCGCGAAGTCTATATAAGTTCTTGTCACTTCTAATATCGGGGATGAGTAGTCTGAGATTTGCTTCTGAGACTGCTTTTCTAATTACGATTTCCTAGCGTTGTGGACTGTGAAGTGCATTAATAAAGAGGCAGCAATACCTGTTCCTTCTGATGTACATGATCGTTCCCGGATTATTGCATAGAATACAGGTTTGCTCGCGACACAATCGTCCTAGCTCTTTGTTGATCCTCATAGAAACTGCGACCGGAAGTTGTAGTTGGAGTGTTCCTGAGGGATTCCTGAGTTCTCATGTTCCTGAGCCGTTGTCGTTTCCACCATAAGGATCTGTTACAGTTTGAGATGAGAGTTGCCTACCGATTGAGCATTACAGGCGTGGAAGAGTAAAGATTGTTCATGGAGCTCTAACCAGCGTGAACGCTTATACACGACACATGGAGGGTCCGCCTACATTAAGGGACAAAGTTTACCATAACAAGCAAAGGAAGCTTTTGCTTTCAAATTGAAGGTAATTAGTGATCTGATATATAGTACCAAATTCGTGCAATTAATCAATATTCATTGTAAAATTTGATACCTTAAACAACCGAGGTTTGATGTAAGGGCGATCTTCGTATTACGTGCGTATATTTGCAGAATTTATAGGAGGTCATGGAAAGAATTATCGCAGTCGAATTTGATAAAGCGTTTTGCAGTCGGCAGGATGTGGATTACAAGAAAACCGATCAACATTCAGAGAGGAAAAAGTGTATCAGCAGAGATTTCAAGATATGCGAGACAGAGACACTTTCTAATCTGAATATTTCTTAGATATAGCCTCATTATCCGTCATTAATTAAGATACGAGCACCTGATGTTCAAACGTTGGTTACGCTGCCAAAGATACGGGTGCGTCGACTTTCAAGTCTGCCATAAAAATTAAGCATTAACCATGCCAAAAAAACAATGCTAACAAATATTCTAAACAAACTTGCTCGGGAGTATCGATCACAAGCTACCAACATCCATTTTGTTAAAACGCTTGTTTACGGACTTTTTTCGCAACCAACATAATCATCTCCCTGAGGTCTGCAAAGCTCAGCGCGAGCACAATCGGATCGACCACCGACTGCGCGGAGAACATCATCGCGCCAATCTGCAGCCACACATACGGCAGCTGCACGTTAAACACCAGCTGGATGGTGAAATAAGACACGCCCGGCGTCCAGCAGATCACGACGCTGAACGTCAGACACACCAGCAGCACCAGTGCTCGTTTCGGTTTTATCCGGGGTGCTTTCGTATCCACAACCGGTATAGGATTGGAATGGTGCTCCGTATGACTCGACACGGTGGTGATGCGCGCGCTAAACCGTCTTCTTCGCCGGTAAAACAAGAACGCATTGCATCCCACTATGAAGATCATCGGGAAGGTGTAGTTAACCAACTCCGTGGCGGTATCCCACGCCCATAGTGCCGCCATGTTGATCAGGCATTTCCCGTAGAAGTGGGGATTCGATAGTACAGTCCATCCATCACGACACCGTACAACGGCTGCACGTGACAGTACAGAAACATGACTACACACAGCCCAACAGCGATGGACGTGGTGTGATACTTGTAGGACACCGGCTGCGTGATGGCCCATAAACGGTTAACGGTGATGAGGAGGTGAGCGTGGACGACGGCCACCGAGGGCGGGTAGATCGTGTAGAAGAGAAATGTGCAGAGCGCGTCGCCCATCCACCATTTACTGTAGAGACTATACAGGATGTTAATGGGGCCCTGTGTGGCGATGTAGAAAAAGGTCATCAGGATGAGGTTAAATAGGTACACGGAGAACGAAGTGTGAAGGCGTCGGTTGGCGATGAATAGCAGCGCCGCAACCAGGATCAGGGTGTCCATAATCGGGACGAACGTCCATGACTTGGTAATATCAGCGGCTGTGGAATTGTTCAGCATTATGGAGTAGATGTTCTACTGCACAGCTGGAGATTTGTACTGGATTGGAACAAATCTGCTAGTCTGCAGTAGCTCTTGTAGGGTAAAAATTGAAGTGCGGTGCACAGGTGCATAAATATCATAATCATAATTGTAATCGAAGAACTGCTTGGGATAATATGAATTCAGCATATTTAAACACACTTTTTTACTTGATTATAATCCTAAGCCAGGTGAGAGCGGGCTTAGGACTAAGCCGCTCCCAGCACCGATGTGTTCCAGAACGAACATCCACTTATAAATGCAAAGTAAGTGAATAATATGGACGAGTACTTCGTGCAGTTTAGGAGACATCTGCAAAAAGCACTGGAAGACGGGAAATCGGTGTACATATCTGTAGCACGTGAAGACATTAATATTGAGATTAACTGAGCGATTCCAGCGTAGCCGAAATCCGAGAATCCGCTCGCTCGAAATCTGCGTAGTAGCCGAGCCGAGCCGAGAATCGGACGCCGAAATCCGGCGTAGCGGCTCGGTAGTAGATTTCGCATTAAGCATAAAACGAGAACATACTGGGCCAAAATAGCCAAAATCAGCACCTAACCCCTCGCTTTTATTGCGACTGAGATTTGAGAACTTCCGTCGGTAAGAGTTTGAGTATGCAAATATCCCCAATAAGAACCATGAAGAAGTCTAATAAGGCAAAATGGCGATCCGTGGCATCTGACGTGCAGGAAATATTGTCGGTCCGCTTTACGAAATTTAATATGAAGTGTCAAACACCCTTCGAGTCTTTGAGACGTGTGCCATAACATGGAATTCGACACCACACTGGCAAAGCCGACGATGCACTAACCAACAACAAAAGCAGTACAAGCATCTCCTCTGCACATAGTGATCGGCATCAGCTGATGCATCGAGTCTCCTACCGGATCATCCTACATTTACTGTGCTGTGTTTTATGGTAATCCTGTCATTTGTGCACTGGTATTCAATGCCGTCTAACCGTTTGAAATAACCGTCACCATGATGGCTTGATTGATGTCGATCAATTGTTGTGAACATATAGATCACTTTTGACCTTTTTCAGTTTTCCTTGCTTTGACAGGTGGCCTTTGCCAATGCAGTACTTTTGTCTAATGAATCCGGAAAGGTCGAACTTTCAATTCGTGACGAAGTGAAAATATGACCTCTGTCTGGAATCGTTGCTTTAAAAGTTAAAACTGCGCCTTTGTTACTGCCTTCGTTCCTGATGCTGTTATCCCTGTTTCCAGTACTAAAATAACCAGATTTATTCTTCCCATTGAAAGCTTGGATGACACCGACAGGCGACTGCAGATTTAAACGCTGATGATGGAATGATCAATGAAGTCACAGATTATCTTGCTCATTCACATGCCTGCCAACTTCTCAAAGTTCTAAAATTTCGCTTTTACAAGATGCAGGACTGCAGCCGTTCTGTTCTGATTGCACCCGCCAGGAGCAGCGGTATCTGCACCGCAGAGCTCACACAGTCAGTGGTAGCCTGCGCATGAAGGCTAGCTTTTTTCAAACGTTCGGATAATTTTCTTCATTATTTGAGTAGAGGATTTCTGTATTTATTCCTTGTCACTCTATCCCCATCGTTACTGATTTTTCCTGCACGAGAAATTGTTACGTACCCTATTTCTTTTGTGAAACTGTAATTAGTTGCTCCCCTTTCCTTCCCACTGCACAGAGCAAGGTTCGCTGCTTACACGCTTGTTTATTAATTACAGCGAGCTGTTGGCTGACGTCCTTGTGTGTTTGTGGGCGCCTGCAGGTGAAGAAGTGTTCGTGAAAGTCTGCTAGTTACCCAATAACCCAACGATAATGAACTGCAGTCGCGGAGTGGAGATTACGGTGGCCACGCACGTGTCGGTGGTGGTGTACGATGAGGTGACCAAGCGCTGGCAGCCAGCGGGGTCCGCGGCCCAGAACGCCACCTCCCCGGTTGAGGTGAAGATCCACCAGCACGCAGACCCACACGGCAGCACGTTCCGCATCACCGGCCGGCGTGGGCACAACCACGAGGTAACCGACTCCTGCTGTGTTCGTACACGGACTTTTTGGCTCTGGTTATTGCTTACCCGTAGTCTCGTAGAGACCTTCAAGTGGCAACCTATGTTCAGTCAATGGGCGACATACCTTCAAGTGGGCAGGCTTCAGTTACTTTGCCCCAGAACCGATTTGCTTTCGGTTTTTGGGGAGCATGTTTAGCACAACTTATTCTTTTCAAAGTACTTGAAATTTGAAATCGGTTGCACCGTTTTTTAGTTATTTACGTTGTAAAAAACTAGTGACGAATCGCTTAAGCCACGCCACTGCTCTAGACCAAACTCACTGCAGTGACTACCGCGCATGTGCGGCTGGAGCCAATGCTACATCCATATGGGTGTTCCTGTTAATCATACAGTTCTCAGCATGATTAAACGGACTCACTGAATACAAAACTAGCTTCTGCCGAAAAGCCAATTTGAGTGTTCGCTGCAGTCGCAAATGTATGGTGGTCACAGCAATCAGTTTGGTCTAAAGCAATGGCTCGCGTGGCGTGGCTTAAGCGTTTCGTCCCTGGTTTGTTACGACCTAACCGTTCGATCGATTTAGACTTTGTCGAGTACTCTGAAAAGAGTAGGTTGTGTTGAACATGCTATAACAACAAGCAAGAAGAGAATCGGTTCTGGGACAAATAACTGAAGCCTGGCCACTTGAAGGTATATCGCCTATTGACTTAACATAGGTGGCCACTTGAAGATCTCTACGGGTAGTGTTTCCGTACAGGTAGTGATCGACTGCGCCCTCAACAAAGGCTTCCAGTACAGCCGTACCACTCCGACCTTCCTCCAGTGGCGCGTCCGTGGACCGGTGTACGGTCTCCGTTTCCAAAGTCCGCACCATGCCGTGGCCTTTGCGGCAGCCATGGACTGCGCCGTCGAGACGCTGAATGGCTCTCCCGCAGCGCCCACCCCCGACAGACGACGAATCCGCTTTATGAACGGACCGTCTCCGCCGCGGGTGGCCCTCACCACCTACGCTCCGGATCCTCATCTCCGCCAGCGCCCGGCCAACGTCGAATCGGCCGCACTGGACGCGGCGGCCTGGACGCAGTGTGTGGATTCGCGCCGCATTGATCGGCATCCGGAGTACAGGTGGGAATACAGTGAAACCTGTCTTTTACATACCCCGGTACATACATAGACCTGGAAATTTCACACGGGGAAAGTTTAACCGGCACGTTCCACAGACTGTAATATAACTCTGTGTAATACATACATCTGGATAACACATACGGTTTTGCTTAACCGAAGGCGTATTTAGTAACCAGGTTTCACTGTAACCGATAGGGATTGTTCAGTAATCCGGTGTATTTTCTGGATTTTTTAATAAATGCTGTATCCGAAAATTATAGATTTATTATCCCGCTGTAGAGCGATTAGACAGCCGGTGCTGCCGCGGACCGAACCCGTCATCCAGCTGGATTTCGAGGAACATTGGGGCAAAGAGTCCAGCTTCACGGGCATCATCGGCGCCGCTCACGAAGGCCCTCTCGGCAAGCAGCCAGGTGAAGGGTACACTGCACGTGATGACACAAACGAGGGCGCCGTGGAGGAGCATCCGGGAGAAGACCCGATGACGAGGGACAGCAGCAGCGACGCTGACGAGTGTTGGCCTGGAGCGCCGCAGGAAAACGAGCCCGTGGGTGGCGGGGCGGGCGTGGGGGAAGACGGGGACACCAGCAGTCCGGATTCAGGTGAAGAGACAGTAGTTGCATTAATGACTGTCGCAAACGCTTTAGTAGTGAGTACAGTTGTCGGTTGTAGTAATACAGTCTACGCATTATGTGTGTCTATATGCGCTGCGGGCCCATGCGACTCCTATTTTCTCATAGATGATGATGATCCCGTGGAGCGGGAGAAAGCACTGCAGAAGTTTAAAAGCGACCTGGCTGAGAAGCGCGCCAGTAGCGCATGGGGGCGACCGGTACCACCAAAGAAGCCGCTGGTAAGTTTATTTGTTCTTTGCAACAGGTGAATGTGTGCCTTATTTCTTTTCGTTTCAGATGCCGGAAGAATATATGGATAAGCTGCAAAGTAGACTGTCCAGCAGAGGATGCTGCTTCTACTATTGTGACCATTGTGGTTACGGTGGCACGGAGCCGACCGGCTGGTGGAGGGGATCTGCCCTGGACCACTATATCGGGCGATATTCAAAAAAAGACAAGAAAAAAGGTCAACAGCCCTGCGGCGCATGGAAGCTCCTGTATCCGGATGAATTTAGGGCCAACCGTCTGCCGCCAGTTCGCCTTCGATATCGGTATTATGCCGATGGATTCAAGGGCGAAATATCAGAGGAGTGCGTAGAAGAATGGACGCCAAACGATGCCAAACGCGGCATCGTGCAGGAAAACGGTTTACCCAGGAAGAATGTGTTGCTTCCAGTCGACTATGTACAGCCGGACAAAAACCAGGTACATTTGCTAACGTCATTCAAAGGGAGATTGCTACAGTCATTCTCAATTTCGAGCGCGTCGTTGTTCCAGCAAGGGGAAAGAAAGCGCCGAGAAGGTGAAAGAAAACGGAAATTGTCGCTGGAATTTCTTCAGGCTGTGTGTGGTGTTAGTGCGACGGGACTGGAGGCGCAACGCGAGAAAAAGAAATCCAAGGAGATATCCGCGTCCAGGACAACTGCATCCGCACTTGTAAATTATGCGTATTTAAAAATTAGGTGTATTTCTGTTATCCGTATGATAAACTATTATCCGTGTTTGTATATTATGAATTACATGCTGATATGTTCTTTGTCTCAGAAAAAATTTAAGGAATCAACGTAAGACGGCATCCAGTCGCATTAGTCCGCTGATCAGTACTGCCGTTTCTGCTGACCCGAAGGATACTGTAAGCATGTCCTCCTCGAGCGGGAATGGTCGCGCTGGCCGGAGTAAGATGCGGGATGATGCAAGTGCATCTGGCGACGCAACCATCGCTCGGCTGATGAGCTTGTGAAAAGTCTTGGATGTTGCGTTGGATAACTTCAATAACTTCTGTTTTGTCGGATTTTACATCTGCATCTAAGTGTTACGGTTTTCATTCATTGGTACTGCGTGCACAATAAGCATGTCTCATGTCTATACAGATGGGAATTGCCTTTGACTTTTGTACGACCGTTGTGCATACTATGAGAACAGTGTTATGTTAAAATATCGGAATTTAACTGCCGTGGTAATGAGTAAATTTGATTATTCCCACCATTTAAATTTATTTATTTTAAACCAACCAACAGATCGTACACAGTAGGAGTTGCATCTAAAAAAAGACCTTTTTAAGAAAAAGTGGCTGTTCAACGTGTGCTGTCTTGAAACGTAGATCGTCCTGGTTTCTCACCAGGATATAGTGACCCCAGTTCGAACGTGAGCTTTTTGAGCATTTTGTGCAATTTAATTCCGCAAACTGTTCCCGGATTTACCGATTTTTCTACGATCTGTTTTTAGGTGATCCCAGCAAAAGCGTCAAATTATGAGAAGTGTGCACCTCCTCCACGTAGTACGGCAATTTAGAGACCGTGCAGATTTCGACCACGCTCTTAACATTCATGTGATCTTCGACGGGGCCACTGCACATACCTACATACAAGCTTGTTGATCGGCGCGTGCACTTCAAAGTCGCTATCATCTGCTGAAGATTGACGAAAGTTTACCTACCCAGTGACCCAGTCTGTCTTGCTTGCACTTTAACTAAGTTAAATTGTAGTAAGCTGGTTTAGAAATCATGTCATATGCTACGGTTATCGCAAAACAGCAAGATGATTAGGCAAATAAAACAGCGGATTCATCCTTGTGATCGAGTATTTTTCTTGGAGCGCGTAAAATCCGAAGCCTGCAAAACAATTCTACAAAATATTTAATTCAACATCGTACACAAAATTTCGTCAGCGTATCGTACAGCAACAAAAAGAGGTGTGCAAGTCTGACAAATAATCGAAGACGACCTACCGGCATACAAAATTTAAAAACATTCAAATATAAAAAACAGTAAAGTAATCAAAACTGAGTCTGACTTGACGGGGATGGAATGACCAGGCACAACGCCGACAAAACTGCCGCACATCGCGGTGACTCACGGGCAAGGCACGGCTCAAGCAATAAATAATATAACAAAATAACCACGTAAAAATAAAATAAAAAAAATACGGAACAAGTAAATAAAGAAATTCAAAAGGATAAAAAAGAGTACCAACCAAGCGCGGGTGAATCGACAGCGCCACGCATTGCAGCTACAGGTGGCGCTCACACCGTTTTGACGCACGCCTGCTGCAGCAAGCGATTTTGCTGGGGCGACGGTGACTTTTCCCGTTAAACACTCCATTTCCGTTAAGCATATCAGTAATACTTCTTTGCCATGTGATGCATCAAAACTGTCCACAGAAATCAAAGCGACGTACTTGCTGTTTCGTACATTTATTGCTATAATCGCAGCGATTGTTTTGAAACTATAAAAATAATCTAAATTATTTAAGCAGTACCAAAGTGACTAAGTATATTTGTCGAAATGTGATTTTTGTTTCCCATTTTTTAAGGTGATCTCCTGGTTTTGCTCCTACGCGATATTTTTGTCGATTTTAAGGCGAATTAAAAGTTTTTTCAAATACGTTCTTGTCTGTGTCAGCAGAACCTCTAAAGAGAACAGAACTGGCAAATTTGGACCATTTGGTGAAAGCAAGTATTGACACAGATTACCGAAGAACAATTAGTTATCCGCCGGCGCTCGACACGTTAAATCAGAACCAAAGACTGAATGAAACACACGCGATCCTGAGCAGTTGTTCAGCAGGACGGATTCAGCCAAAACGTCCTCGTGTCGCCTTTACCCTGTTCAAGCGATCCCGCATTTAAATTGCCTGTCGAAAGATATTTATTAGTTGTAGCTTACCTTGACGTAAATGAATCCCCGGTCTTCCAGCTGGAAGCCGAACGTGTCGGCCAAACCGGCCGCTTCCGCACTCAGATGGATCCGTCTCGGTTCGCCGTGCGAGGCCATTCGCGACGCAGTATTCATCGTGTCGCCAAATCTACCAAATGTCGAATAAAATAAATTCACTGAATAATTTAAATTCACATTTATTTTAATTTAAATTTAAAATCCGCTTAATTTCCTTAAGACATACAGGCAATATCGCGGCCGCTTGTGACCGATAATGCCGGCTTCCACCGGACCGCTGTGCACGCCCGCCTGCAGCTCGATCTTCCTCCCGCCGACATTATTATCGAAGACGCTCATCAACTCGGCGGAAAGGTCACAAATTTCGCGAATATGCTCGCTGCCGTTGCGCACCGGTAGACCACTGGCGACCTATAAAAGGTCATGTGCAACAAATTCATTACGGATTTATTCCCTGAACCTACCAAATAATTATCGCCGGTGGCTTCGATCTTGCACACCCGAAACCGGCTCAAACTGTCGTCGAACCGCGAGTACAGTATATCCAGAAAGTTGACAATTTCCAGGGGCGCCGACGTGGCGGCGAACTCGTTGAAACCGCGCATGTAGCTGAAGAAGATGCTGACGGCCTCGAAGGCCTCCGGGATAACCTCCTGGCCGGCGCGCAGTTTCCGCACCACCTCCCGCGGGAGCATCTCGTTGAGCAGGGCGTCGCAGCGCATCTGTTCGTTAACTAATTCCACCTTCCGATTATACACCGACACCTCCAGGTTCTCGGTGTGATTGCGTAATCGCTCCAGGAGACTCTCCAGGAGATTCCGCGACCCAGTGATCTTCCGCAATCGAGCGCGGACGTAGGACGCAGATGGACGCGCGGCGGGGTCTTCGTCCCAGCACTTCTCGATCAGCTTCTCTAAATCCTGACAGCCGGGATGTTCGTAGTGGACGTAGAAGCTCGGACGTTTCCGGATGTGGGTGACGTTGGACTGCTTGGTTTCTACGGCGATAAAGGTCACATTGGGAAACTTTCCGGAATGGATGCGTTGTTTACCTGTTCCGTCGAAATAGATCGTGGTGAGTGTCCGGCTGAGCGGCTGCTCCGTGACTATGAAGGCCACCAGCGCGCCGAAGGCGAACAAGTCGGAGGGTGCGCCGGCCGAGTGGTACAATAGGAGCTCCGGTGCGGTGAAGGGTGTGGCGGAAGCCGTCGGGCGGAGGGCGCCCAAGAAACCCAGGATGGCTTCGTGACCCAGGTCGTCGATTTTTAAGCAGAAGCGCTGGTCGATCACGCATTTGGTCGGGCGGAGATGGCCGTGGAATTTAATGGGCGAGTGGTGGATGGCGTACAGTCCCTATGCAAATGCGAATACTGACTAACTAACGACCCCTGTCAGCTTAATCACACCTTAATGCTAATAAACAAATAAATATTTAATGATAATAATCTTCGTTTGATTCATATCTGTATATAGTATGTACACAGTACTAACTAATAATTATATACAAGCGTATATTAAATAGGCCAATTTTCGCCGCCCAGGAATTTTTTAGGACTCTTATGTGTAATGCGACTTGTATACTTCGATCAGATCGGAAATAAGCGACAGCTTCAAATCCCAGTCGATGCCGCCCTTGAGTGCCATAAGGTCGTTGAGAGATCCGCGTTCGCAGTACTGCTGGCAGAGAAACGGTGGATTGGCGTGCAGGAAAATCCCGTGGAAGCGGTTGACGTTGGCGTGCTGCACCGTGCTGATCTGTTAACTCTTTACGTTATCAACGCCTTCCGGTAGCGAACAGCGATTGCATGCACCGACCTGCGAAAGGACTTTTGACAGCTGCGTCTTCTTTAGCGTGACCTTCATGCGATGGTGACCTTTGAGGAAAACGCTGGGGTCGGCGCACATCACGCCACCGATGAGGTCGCAGCTGTCCTCGGTCTCCGGTGTGCAGCAGATGACCTTGACGCCGTGCACTTCCATCAGGCGCTTTCCGCCCAGTTTGAACGACAACGCGCTGGCCGTCGTCGACATGTACGCCGAGCGCACCAACGCCGACGGTCCGATGAGCCACTGCTTATACGCATGCGCCTGTCGGTGCCACCTGTTGAAAAACATTTTTTCTTTTCCTTTTTTTAAAAACTTAAAAGGTAAAATAATTTTTTTATTTTTCATAAAAAAATTTTTGGGACAACTTCCGCCCTGACCTTTCCAGGAGGACCCCCGCGGCGATGAGGCACATCAGCGGGACGAAGACCCCGAGGACGATAGCGGTGAGGCGGCGGGCCTGCTCCCGATCGTAGCATTTCTCGTTGTGGATGCCGCAGAGCGGCCGGTCCAACGGCACCTCGCCGGGCTCCCACGGGAGATCCTCCTTCCCGAAAACCACCCGCGTCAGTCCCCGGGACGCCGTATCGGCCAGGAACAGCGTCTAGAGACGAAAACATAGTCAGTAAACAACTTCCCAGATTTTTCCCGGATCGGTGAGCTCCCACCTGGAACTCGTTGGTGGACTGGTTAAAGACCTGGATGTGAACGGAGACCACGCGGGTGCCGTTGGGTGACATGCGCATCTGCCGGGACGTCAGGTTGTAGGTCTGGCCGAAGGTCTGCGCCGCGGTCCGGTGGGCGCTGAAGGCGGGGACCTCGCTGCCGTTGCTGAGGAGCCGCTCTCGGTCCAGAGTCTGCACTACCGTCTCCAGGGCTTCGAATAGCACCGTCATCATTTCCGCTCCCTATCCAAAGCATGCACGTGGTATATTTGCTGGGAGTCTTCTTTTATTATGCGATGATTGTTACCAGTTGTTTTAGCTGCTATCGATCCTATCGACGTTATTTAGTTTAGTTTTTTTAGATCATCTGAGGTTGCAGTATTATCGACTTACTAGAAACTTTACAGCAGTTCCATTTATGAATTTTACATAATAGTTAGAAATTGCTAATAGAAGGACTAATAGTAGACAGGTCAATCGGTTCACTACCCAGGTAGAAGATTTTTATGGTTTACTTTTTATTTTTTTGTAATTTCTGCCAGTCAAAACAGAATTGAAGAACACACTCTTATTCATTTTCGTAATAAGGTAGCTCAGGAGCTTGTTTTATATTTTTTAAATGGTTAAGCGATACCGGCATCTAAGAACAGTATTGGGACCGATCTTTTTAAAACAAATTGCATATGTTATCTGAAGATTACGAAGTGGTTCTAGAATAGATCTTCCTTGCTAGCCGAAGCCGGTTTTATCTTCCTACCGCAATTTCGAGGTTCTTCAGCTTGCTGCCGTATTTCCGCTTGGCGTAGGCCTCCGCACTGCTGGTGAAGGGCTTCAGTTTCTCCCAATCAACCGGGCTGGTGCGGATCATGAAGTAGCTCGCGAAGGCATCACACAATTTCTACCAACAGCAGAAGCGCTCTGCACTAAAATGCTTATTCGGTGACCTTTTCTTTTTTACCACATCGTATGATCCGTCGGGATTCTTGCAGCTTAGTGGATTTTCGTTGGCCACCTCAATCTCGTATAAATGCATAAAGACCTGGAACAAGGATGTTTTTAACCTGGATTAAGTTAATTGCGTTTCCGGTAAAGGAAAGAACATACGTAGTCACCGTTCGTCATGCCGAGATCGGACGCTGCCAGCTGTTGATGAAAATAAGCGAAACAGCGTAATTAACCGTTAGCCTGTAGTTTCAGAAAGAAGGGAAGAAAAACAGGCACCGCTTACGGCGATTTCCCGCTGCGAGAGGCCCAGCGTGCACGTCAGGATAACTGCAAAAGTAAGGTTATTCCGTCAATTTGCCGGCCGTCACAAACACGGAGAGTTATACACAACATACTGCGGCTGAAATTAGCCGCTTCCAGCAGCGCTGTTGTCGCCCAGTCGCTGCCGTTGGCGGTGGTGACGTTGGCGGGCCGCGAGTCGACCATGATGTCAATACGGGAGTTGATGTCGGTGCGCTTCTTTAAGAGTTCCTTGACGCCTTTGCAGTGCTGCTCTATGCGGCGACTATAGCCGATGCGCAGGAAGCTGCTGACCCTGTCCTCGATAACGGCGATGGAGCGCCAGCCGAAGCGGTCCATCAGATCCAGCACTTTCGCGCCGATCCCGAAGATGTCGCCGATACCAAAGGCCAGCCACGTCGGGAAGCGGGTCTTGTCGTTGAATCCGGCATCCTGCGTTGTGCTGCACAACAATGCACAAATCACTTAGTTAACCGCCGAACAAGCCAGGAACTTGTTTTTTTTGGCTACTCACTAGCTCATTGCCAGCACATCCAACTCTGTAATATAAACGGATAATAAGTGTTCACTAAAGGTCATGCGTATACTCTGTACTGCCGGATATACCAGACAGATTAACAATGCGCACTTCCACGGAATCAAGAGAAATGGCCCGGTACATACGGGACCCGTTTCTTACACATCCAGCACTTACACATATCCAATGTTTCCACTTTCGCTTTCGCTCACTCAGGAACATTTTTAGTAGCGTTCTATATCGTTATACATTAACTGATTGATTGGTTGTTTATTGAGTAGCCAAGCCGGGTACAGTTCGACTATCACATATCCTTATTCAAGAAGAACATCAAAATTAATGTGCTATGGTTGGTCAAGTCACCAAGCTTCGTTAAACACCAGTAATACGCATACTATAATAATGCAACATGTACATGTCAGCGGACTGCCGTGCTTAGGGAAAATGGCCCGGTACATACTGTAGCGTCAAAAATGGGACACATACACTAAAACGTTTCGCTTTCGTGCACTCCGAATCACTTTTTTGTGTAAGACCGTACTAATGACAACACTGTAAGTCATTCTAAAGCTGAATAATGTGTGCACATTGTCCGGAAACGGTTTGCGCGCACAACATCCGGTTGCCGAGATATGGCGCGGGAAAATAAGCGAAAAGTTTAAATGCATTGATTGTTGTTTACCAAGAATCTGGTTATTACCTGATCTTTTTGGAGCTTCGCTATAAAAGTCCTGGCCATAAAGTCGAAAGTGGACCAAGTTCAGTTTAAAATTTTCGAAACTGATTTTAAAATCGGGAAAAAATGTTAGAAGAAAGCTGGAATCGGATAAAAAATTTAAATGCGTTGTTGTGCACCAAGAACTTGGTTATCACCCGATCTTCTTAAACTTTGTTGTAAAATATATGTGAGAATATAGTCAAATCCGAGCCAATATCAGCTTTCCCTGGAATTTTTAAATGGATTTTCAGATGTTTGGGATTCGTTCTCAAACAGAAACAAAATTCTATGACCTAGTGCTGGTTCAGTTTCGACTACTTATAGTCAAACGTATTTTCAATCAAAGTTTCAGGAAAATTGGGTAATTATGTGCTTGGTTTGTTTAAAAAGTGTTACGAAGAGCGCAAAATTAAGGGCGAAAGATTTAATTAAAAAGGCAGACATTAGTGCCATCTGACCGGCATTTTCCTTAAGCGTTGCTTCCCCACTTCAGCACACAACCTAAACAATCTATTTTTAAGCTTCTGCTACGAAATGGACAGCTGAAAGTTTTTTATGAAAAACCTTGAAACAGCCTCAACGTGGGCTGCATCGGCTGAATAGAGAAAATGGAGGGAATCCGAGCCGAGTATCAATCAGCCGCACGCATGTATTTTCTAACGACAACAAAACCGGCATGACTTCTACTCCTTTCCGTAACGCCTCCGTCCCCACCCGGAGGGCAGCTTTCACAACTCTTTCTTCTGCCCCATTCAACGCTGCAACAGCAGTCGACCTTGCGGTACTGTGGGGGTACTGACTTTGCCGAAAATCCATCGAAAGGAAAAAAGGAAGCTATCGTACTACTGGTAATGCGGAAGCACTACACAAACAATTCGGAAATGACGGTGTCCTTGCGTGCTGCTAATTGCTATTAACAACGCTATCAGTTGCAAAAATTGCAACCGCCATCTGTGAGCGGGCAGATTACGGCTCTGTTAATTCTCTTTAAACCGCTTTAAAATCAACGTATTTCCTAGTTAATTCTGCTGTTGTAATTCTGTGTTTGTTGCCAATTCATGTATTCTAACTGGCTTGTGCTAATTAAAGTATTTCCTAGTCTATCCGACTCTATCGTAATTCCACTCATTTTCTTTTTTCAAGTAGAAAACTGGTGACATTTTTAAACCGTAATTTCACTCGTTCGGGTATAAATTACTCGTATTTTCAATACAGTTGATCAGAGCTTGCGTACCTCGTGCAAAATTGGCCAGCGACTGGAAGACCGAGGGACAAGCTGCAACACAGAAAACCGGCATGTATCGACAGGATCGAGGCGGTAAGATATCCGTACGATCAAGAGCGACGCTGATTAATAGCTTTATGGCGCGACGTATCTTACCAGCGGCGACGACCATGGTGGGTCCGGTGGGTCCATCCAGCTCCAGCACGCCGTTACTGTAGATATCGGCCAACCCGACCTCGATGGTGGACACACCGCGGGCGTCATCGGAGCAGACAGACTCGGCGGACATCTGGTGCGGGTAGAAGGTGTAGTTGTGCATCACCGCCGGATAGCGGGCGCTGAGCAGCTGCAGCGCCGCCCAGATGGACGACACGATGGGCGGACTGCCCAGGTCCGAAGCGTTGCCGGAACTTAAGGAGATCACTTTCAGCGGACTGGCGCCGGCCGCGCGCCGATCCTTGCTGAGGAAGACGAGGAGAAAAATCAACAGCAACGAATGCATGGAATAAAATTAATGTTATGCTATCGCAGCGGCCGCAGTGTTGTCGTGCGGGCAGATTAGCGAATGATTAAACCCGGGTCGGTATGGCATAATCCGCGCTGGTGCTTTTATTATATTAATCAGCGTAACGCAGGGTTTCGGCAATAATTGCGCCCGCCGATCAGCCGGAATTCCGGAAGCGCGCGCAGTATAACACGACACCCGTGGATAAACGTAGGCTGGCTCCTTTCACTGGCCATGAATGCCGGGAATTATGGGATTATTCGATTTGCCGGCTTCCTGCTTTCCTCTTCTCTCTCTTTCTCGCTCCAGACTCCCAGCGCGCCAACGGAAGCCGCAACACATAATGCCGGGTAATCACACTCCAAATGACGCCTTCTTCACTTTTTCACCGTGTTTTCCCCAATTACACTGTCCTGCTTCTCAATGGCCGAAAGCATTTCACGGCCAGAACTTTGCGCTGAATTCCAGGCGCGGCGAGAAAAAACTTAATCGTCGTATTTACTGGTAAATTATGCCAAATTAGCGGCTGCGTAGAAAAAGTCGGTTTCCCGTTTAGACGGTGTAATTAAATGCCGAATAATCTTCGTCGGCCGTTAATTTACTGCTGCGCCTGGAAAATTACTAATGTAATTTGTTTCGTCGGCGGGAAATGTGAGCAGCTCCGTTTCCCTGTTTCCCGGTTTAATAAACAGCACGAAATCAACGTCAGCGCGCGTCATGTGAGGGGACATGTAAATACAACAAACGCTCGCTCGGTTTGGAAAGAAAATTGTCACGGAGACTTTTTCAGGCTTATTTAGAAATCCAGAATAAAACCAGACGTATTTTGCTGAGCAATCGGAATTTCATACAGCAACAGAACGGAAACGGCAGTTTGCCGAACCGGCATACTCGTACTGCATCCGTTCCCTGGAGACTGCTGCGTGTGACAGAAGCCGTGTAATTATCATAGTGCACTTTTTATAAGTAGGATATTGTGACCTTTTGTACTCTGTATGCTGCTTTTCCGTATCTCTCACGGTATTAGTGAATGTAATAGCGGCGGAATAGTTTTTATGTCCGGCAGTCAGCTGATTACGCGGAACGCCGGCTGCCGCGTTGTTTTGATGGCTGAAAGCTGCACATCGCTGTACTGTTCTAGGTAGAGAAACATCTCATCAAGTTGTAGTTTCCGGTGAGAATACAATCAGGCTATCAGCTGATACCACCCAGCTTATTAATTACATTTTCTAATAAGCAACGTCATACAGTTATTGGTTTATAAATGATGACGCGATGATATTACTTACATGAGTGAATATATCAGCCCTATCTGTAAAACCATATAACCGGTGCGTTTTTCAATCTGCACAAGCTTCTCCCGTAATTTCTATCGCATCAACACAGCGGCAAAACAAGATTCACGGGATACGCCAAACAGGCCCAAACTCCATACTATGGCGCTACACGATTTACGTGTTATAGTGGCAATCGTTCATATAGAAAAGTTGGCGTGCCGCTGAATACGTGCTTTAGCTTCACGATGGAAATTGTAGGACAAGCTTGTACGTCGTTGTTGTTTGGCATAAACATCAGCGTATACGGTCCTGTTTACTTTCATTTCACCTGCACAACGCACACGTGACCGTGTTGTTTTCACCTGGATAGCCACGGCATTATATCGCCACAGCGAATTATTCCGTACAAAGAGCCAATTAGTGACGGCAAGATGGCTGACGTAGGGAACAACCTCCTCTTGTCAACAACCATCTAGTTTTGTTCTTGCAGTTATAGCGGTAACACACATCCAGATGACCGCGTTTGTAACTCACTTAGCCTTTCTATACTGATTATACTGAACAACATTACAGTATTTCGGGAAAATCTTGAGGGCATATTTTGAACGTTAACAAACTGGGTGCGGACAAGGAATTAACCGTTTTCCTTTGCAGCTCAAACAGGGCGTACACTACTCTGACAGGGAATGACGCTGGAGTCCTGGACGTTAGCGCGGCATACAGATACAATTAAATTTTAAAGCGGATGAATGTTGTCTTAAGCGGTTCACCATGTGTGACTACCTGTTCTGAACAGCTTGCCACCAGCGTAGCATGACGACATATTATCGAAAGCTGCCCATGTTATTTCTAACCCTGATTTTATTTTTGTTTCTTAGGTTAATCTTAAGCATTCTTAGGTATTCTGAGGTTTCTTAGGTCTTACTTCTTAGGTTTTCTTAGGACGGCGTTCTAATAAATTAGGCCTGCGATCTGGTCTCTTTTCGGGTAATCGTAATCATAGCTGCTTCGTGAAGTTGCATCCTTTTTCAACCTGTACAGTCGCAAGTCCCGTCGAAGCGCTAAATAAACAATTCGAATTGAGACGCTTTAAACGCATCGTTTTAATATGTTCCGTCAAACAGAAAATCGTGGCGTTTGTTAACAGGGAAAACTGGCGTAACTGAAACCGGTTATGTTTATTTACGGCAGCTTTACAAGACTAAAACAGTCAACAGATACGGTGTCCCCGGGCCATTTAACCAGTTAAAGGTCATGGGTCAGAAGACGTGTCGCTTCCGGACGATATTCCACATCTTCTTGAACAACCACGCACTTTGCCCGGTGTGGAAGAAGTACATAGCGGGATAGGCGTCCACCGGGTCGGCCCGCTCCAGATCCTGCACGGTGAGGCCGCTGAACTGCTTGGGCAGCTGGTACAGCATCACGTCCCCGATGACGTTCGGCAGCACCCCCGTGATGTACGTGTCGTCCACCCAGAAGGTGCGCACGTGCAGCGCCGCCCGGTACAGCGCCCCGACAAGATCCCGGGTCAGGAAGTAGCCGGCGCCCGAGCAATACGCCGGGTAGAACTTCCCCGGGAATTCCCCCGGTGCCACGAACCATTTGCCCTTGTAGCGGGGGACGTCGGCGATCTCGTTCAAGTGGTAGCAGAAGACGGAGCGGTGCGGGACGCCGTTGGGGAAGGTGCGCGTCATCCCGGTGAGGAGCCGGATAGAGTTGGGCAGGTCGAAGACCACGTCGTCGTCCACTTTGAGGAGGAAGCGGTAGCGGAGGTGGGAGCAGTGCAGGGTCATGTACTTGAACAGGCCCACCTGCTTCAGCGTCATGTTCTTGTAGGCCTCTTCGAAGTCCTCCTGGACGATGTCTCCGAAGCTGTCGCTTTCCTCACGCAACTGTAAACGGATACAGTTATCCCGGCGCATGATCAATTATTTCATTTTACCGCCTGGGTTATGTACAAGCTACCTCTACTAGCTTAAATCGCCGGTACGTACTACGTGATTACTACCGGTAATGTATTGTACACTACCGAAATGCTGCTTGGCTTATAAGCTGTACATGACAAAAAAGCCTGCACTGATTGATATTACTCAAAATGACCGACGATTTAATCATAAAAAGATTGCAAAAATTAACATGGCCAGTACCACTAAATCGGAAAGACTTGGAGATCGTGGATGCTTAACGTTGAACAATGTTGACAATTAATGTACTCGTATTTACATGTACATGCAAAAAGGCAATAAATTATAGTCGCATCTGTTAGATACATTTAATATTAAAGTCGTAAAATTAACGAGCTTTGAGCACCCGGGTGATAAACGTGAATGCCTAGTCATGAAATACACCAATCGTCTGCCATAAAGGAAATTATTTACGACCATTTATTAATTGCAACATGTAACGATAAACGTTATTTGCTAGTACCGATAATTTCCTCACCATACTGGTATTATGTACGTATCTCATCACTCAATCTAATTCATACCGATGTATCAAACGGCTGTACCAGGTTGTATTGTACATGATTTAACGTGCTGTATACGAATGCAACGGCTGCCATCCGGACGTAGGCAGTGCCGGTGTAATACCGGTATTTACTGTACTATTGGTACTGGTACGTAAATATTGTTGATACCGGTTAAACTGGCATTGATATTAACATCAAATTCATAACGTCTCTTGTACTGCGGCACGCTGCTGCACTTGCCTTCCGGGCTTCCGATGGCGGCGCACTGGAGTTGCGCGCAACAAAGAATATCAGCTTCATCCCGTATTTCTGCAGGATCTTCCGGTGGCCCCATGTGTCGCGAATCTGTCAGTGAAAAAAAAGGGGAAACAGACTCACAATCTGTATGCACAAGCATCGAAAAGATGCATCTGTTTTACCAACGCCCGTGATACTAATTCGTACACCTACAATATTTCCAGTATATACAATAAAAATTCATGGAATTGCAATATTTGTGATAATATTTTGGGAAAACTGTATTATTGAAGGAACGGAAGCGCATAAAAAATGGTGTAGAATTATCTGCACGAACCAGAATGCGATTGTCGAAGCTGCGTTGCGAGGAGTGCACCGCCACCACGGCAAAGTATTCGCCGGTGTCCGAACGGTTGCAGATGCGCTGCGGATCACCGAGGAGGTAGGGATAATCGTGCGGCGTTATCACATCCTCTGTCAAGGACAAATAACTCACTTTACGTAATTCACAGTACGAATCTCTTAGTACATAATTCATTAGTGAACCCGCAAATAATTAAATATTATCAAAGAATTTATAGAGTGACTAATTCGTTTCGACAAACTACTGATAATTAATTGTTAATAAACGAGTACATTGTATTTATATGTACTTCTCTGTTTAGTTTTTGCCTGTCGATCGCTCATTACCAAAGCAATACTAAATAATACTGTGTTGCATGTGAATTATGGATTTCAGAACTAAACAGTTCCTAGCAATAAATTTAACTTATTCAGTATATATATTTAAAGATTTCAAAAGAATAGGATACAATGCGCGGTGATTAATATACGTAACATAATTTTTTAGGCAGTTAATGGAAGTTAATTAAACATATCTTACCGTTGTAAGAAAATGACAGCTGAGTTTCTAGCTGTAAATGCAAACGGCGCGGAAAGTAATGAGCATAGAAAAGCGGATTATTATCGCGGATATTCGAGAAGCGCAGACAGCCGTCCAACTCCCAGAAGTTGGCTTTGGAACGCTCCGCCGGGGTGCTGGCTACAAACAGGTAACTCTTAATATTTTATTTTAATAAGACATATTTTAGTAATATTTTTAATATTTATTTTATTGTTTTATCTTAATATTATATTTTAATAAGACCGGCTAACTACTGGGGAAGTTAATTATTATACGAGTATTACCAATTGGCAATTAATTATTATACGGAGTTTATACCAAATTAATTAGTGTGCGTATATACGTATATATATGTATTATGTGCGTATGTTTCTGTAAACACATACGTTTCGCCAATAGGCGTTCCTCGTTATGCATATGCTGTCCGAAGATCACCTGCCGGTACAACCGGCACCTCCGCTTATTTTGATTGAGCGTCCGCGCAAAATGCAGCGCCAGCGGGGCGTCCCGCGAGTGCGCATCGGGGACGGTGTCCAGCCGCACGATATCCCCGGTCTCGGCGGTCTCACGGGCCAACGCGGCCACAGCGGAGCTATTCTCACCCAGTCCGCCGAATAGGAACACTACGTCCATGTTGCAGGAGCGGCCCTGCTCTCTCTCCCGCTCCCCCACGCGCCCCCGTATCACGTCGCGCACCCCGCGCGCCCCCACGCTGGTCCGCATCACCACCAGGTAGTTGGCGATGCGCCGCTCCTCGCCTTCGCAGCCCTCCCACCCCGCCTCGTCACCTCCGAGATCGGGGCCGGGCCGGCGCGTTAGGAAGAGACTGGACCACAGGAAGACCAGCGCGGCCACCAGGACGAAGCGCCATTCCGTCAGCCGGCGCCAGCGGAGGCCGGGCATCGCGATTCCCGCCACACACGATTACCACAGTGATCCGTGTAAACGTACGATTTAGTGAACCATAACTGATTTAATGAGCCATTCGCGGTTTCGCCACAACAGCAACACAGATCAACTTCAGCAGTGTCCCTCAGGGGTGGTATAACGCTTCTCATCGATGACGTAAATTTGTCCGTACATCATTAAATAATAACCGGCATATATACGCATCCAGAATCAAATTCCCGGTTAATTATTTTTCCACAGATCCCTTTAATATAACGCTGAATGGATGTTGTACAATATTACTTAATGTCAAGGCAAGGTCGCTGCTAATCCGTTAGCAATATTAATCCGCAACATCATTTTGTTTGTGTACACGTGTGTGTGCGTGCGTTGAAAAGAAGCTGAACGTGATTATTTTTACACGGAGCAGAACGTTACCGGCAAATGTTAGTTCGAATTCTGAGCAGCAGCGGAGAAAAGAAGACAAGCGGAATGTCGGCGAGGTGAATGTGCGAAAATCTGCCCGCGAGATACGTAGAATACGGTGGCGCTTCCGTACATGTACCGAGCCGGTACAATCATTTTTATGTACAGCAGTCGTACTGTACATGGCCCAAGCACAGTACATAAACTGATATTATCAGAATACTGAGAATATAATTACACGAACTGCTCTCTATGTACTTGTCTGAGATCCTTGCAAGCTTCATGACGATGTCATGCAATATTAATTTTTTCTTCATGTGGGATGTGGGGAAAATTTGCTAGGGATCGAAGGTGTTTAACAAATCAGGTGCAAAACTATTAATTAGTTGCAAAATTTGCTAATTAACCCAGGAAAACCGGGTACTAGAAGGGATGGGACTATAGTTTTGAAAATTGGTAATTTGGGATAAAAAAATTCAATTAAGAAAAAAATATTTTTTTCAGAATTTTAGCTACCATAGGTCAAGCAGGAGATGACCATGTCGAGCTAACACGCTTGGGAACCATGTTGCTCCGACATGTTATTTATTGCCGTTTATAACAGGCGATAGAAAAATCGCACAGAATATGCAAATCGCTTAAACGATAGGTCTCAACGAGTACTTGAACACAGGAGCATTACGATGGTCATCAAGATGACCAGTGGTCAAGGAAAATTTAGAAACGAAAAAATCCTAATATGCACCACTACATAAGCGCTACTTCGATACTTCGCAACAGTTGGTCACTTCTGCTCTACGGTTTGGACAATTGGTCACTTGACCTATTGTTGACCACAGTCCTGTTGACGCCTACACAGTGGAAGTAATACTATTCCCTGTTGTGCAACCGAACACTATAGCAGAGATTGCTAGCAGGAAGCATAGACAACATATTCTCAAAGTGTTGTACGAGTGACCAGTTGTGCAAAAACGAGGGTATCGCGCAGCAGGGTCAATAAAGCCCTGCCAAAAAGCCTACTCGTACAATCTAACTTACGTTTAAACTTTATAGAAAACAACAAATGCTCGTATTTACAAAGGAGGGCAGTTCTGTTAGTCGACTTGTGGTGGTAGGCTAGCCGACTCCCTAAGCATCACGAATTATCCAAATTGTGTGGGAGTGATTGATTATACTTTGCACTGTCTATGTCGGCACCGCTGCTAAATAATGCTTAGTTGCATAAACGGAGGCTGCCTTTACTCCCAAAAGCTCTCTTCCGTTATACCGACCGCTTTGCGCAGACTGGTTTCCAAAGGTTACAAGCGCTCATGAACCGGAAGGTTCAAATGTTTTTGATGCTCAATTAGCGAAGTGTAGACACGAGATTAATAATTTTTGCAAGATTTCACACTCATTAATACAGTTTAACTCCGATATAATCTGCAAAGAATATACGATTTTTCTCTGGAACAAATAGCTGGAATAGCTGGTAGGTTACAGTATGTACATGGCAATAACGGCGTTCCATACGCAAGCAGTTACACTGCAAAATCTTTTGAATTCTGATTGTTCCGGGTAGTACGGGTCATAGCAATTTCAGAGCTACTCACAGCGGTCATTACTCAACTTGTTTGCCTTTTCTTCACATTAATTTTAATTGCGTTTAGTCAAAAATTACGTTTTTCGAATTTCCGGTCATTGCTGACCAATGGTCACTTTACTGACCACTATGTACAAGTCAGTTAATACAGCTTTTTTTTAGCTTTATTTTGATTGTTTACTGTGTCTTGTAGGACGCTTCTGTCAATTAATATGAACTTTTGACACTTATTAATACAATAGTACCGTGCCCAACCGTGTCATAACCGACATGGGATTTTCAAGTGACCAGTACTGGCCAGTGGGCGTTAATTTTCGGAACTTTGCTTCATGTTTTTATAAAACTCCGCAATTAGTTCTCCCGTGATTTTTTTGGTAATTATCTGATGTGGGGGTGGCTGTACAGACAAGCAGGACCTCCGGGAGCCCAGCTAGGTCAGTTTTGTTCATGTTTGGTCACCCTCTTTACCTTCCGGATATGACCCAGCTTACGGTTATATATTTTAAACTGTCGTCTAACATAACTTCTTTGAAACAAAACCAATAGAAACAACCTATGATCATAACAACGGACTACAGAGAAGACGTCCTCTACCATGTCGGTCTAACACGCATAGTGTGGAACGGGTTAATTAGGAGCAAAATGTGCGGATTATGCAGCATGAAATCGTTACGAATATTTATACGCAGCTCAGCATACTGTAGTTTTAACGGGCTGATGTGCGATCTAAATTCTGAATGTTTATGGGGGCACGAATTATAAAATCGAGCTCATGAGCTTGGTTTTATAATTCAGCAACTAATTCTCCATCTTACCAATGCGCGCGGCGTTATCAGTAAATCTGTCTAACTCACAAATCAGTGCGTGAGTTTTTGCGCACTCGAGCGTTTTGACCTAAGTACAATGTCGCATCTGAATCTCAATACGTGGTAAGTTTGACAGTTTCTATAACTGTATAACAAAGTTTTGTTCTGATAAGACTAAGGAGGACAAATCCACGGGCGCGAGCCCGTGGAAAGGATTTGGAAAGGAAATTGCCATGGAATTCCATGGAATCCGTGGATTTACGGAAATCCAAACGGATTTCCGTAAATCCAAGGATTTCGTAGTTTTCGTTGGAATACCGTTATTTAACTACCTACTTACATAACTATGAAGAAAAAATCATTTCAATTAACTTCAACTGTTAAATTACTGCGCATTCGTCGTTAGAAACTTCATTTATACGCGTATGATGGGAACATAAGGCGCGAATATGTCTTATCATAAGACATATTCGCGCCTTATGTTCCCATCATACGCGTACATATACATCCAACGTGCATTTCGATCCGCCCAAAAAAATAAGATTAATAACCGCAAGGTAGTACGAGTTTAATTATCCACATACAAAGGTACAAACTACATTACGTACTCATTACGTACATTACGTTTTTTCATACCGTTTTCTCGTGTTCATTCTTTTCCTTTTCTCAGGGTATTCTTAGGCTTCTTAGGTTTCTTAGGTAACCTAAGAAAACCTAAGAAATCTAAGAATAACCTAAGAAACCTAAGAATACCATTTGAAAAGGAAAAGAATAAACACAAAAAAACGTAATCCAAGTTTAATGACCCAAGTTAAGTGATCCAAATTAAGTAATCCAACTTATGTAATCCAAGTTAAGAGATCCAAGTCCAAGTTTGAGAAATCCGAATCCAAGTTTGAGTAATCCAACTCCGAATCCGAATCCAAGGTTCAGCGCGGGCCTTTTGTATTACATCATTCGTTGATCAATTCAGTCTTTAGTTACAGTAATGAAAATGCTCTTGTAGATCTTTGCCAACATGGTCGAGATCGATACACGTACATCCGTGGCAGGACCGCTGCGCATAGTCCCCGCCCACATCCTTATATCTAGTCCGCCGATGTGTGGAAAGCGTTGCCGGACAGTGTTAAAATTGCGAAACCGCGTTAGCTAATCGAACCGTCCCGAGAATACAGACGTATGTATTGTACCAACATAAGCACCAGCACACAGCGGGTTGATTGCGCCGATGTCTTGCACGTACGATTCCGCTGGCTTGATTGTGCGAGCAGCATCCATGTTCCTAGTGCAGTCAACCGCCTGCAGCGTACCTGCGCACATAGATAATACTCGGAAGCGATGCTTCAGCAGTCCCGCCGGATCACTTTCCGGTACAGCGACAGAATGTGCAGCTGGTTAATCTTAACGCCTCAATAAAGGCTGTGATGGTGATGGGGCATAACTTTAGACTGCTCCAGCAGCTCGAGTTTTGTGACGTCGAGGACAATTACATTTTAATCAAATGCCCAGTTTCAAAAATCTGCCTTGAAACATCAAATGATTCGATGTTTTGGGGCATATTTTAAAACTGAGCGGTCCAGCCTGGAACACATCCGCAGACCCGGCTGTATCGAGACGTGTTAAAGGAATACAAGGAATACTATACCAGAAAATATCAGGCTCACGATACGGTGGCTTGTATCGTCATCCGGATAATTTTTCGGCATATTACAAACTTTCGTCATACCGGCAGCCGACGTTTTCCACTCGGGATTGGTGCTAACCTGTACGTAGCAGAGTGGAAGTATTTCCACTTGCAGCCGCCACCTTCGGAGCAGCATGTGTTTATCTTCTCCGGCTGCCAACCGGGGATGATGAAACAGTGCTGTTCCGATCGGCTTTGGAGTCGTACAAACGCAAAATCGAACAGCTGCGAGTTGGAACCGAGGAGACACTGGATGGAGAAAATGAGAGAGGAGAGCCACGGGACCTCGAAGAAGCACTGGATGGAGAATGTGAATTCGCCTTCTCCATTCGGTGGTGAATTCACCTTCGACGCAGCCGAGCCACAGCACGGAATTTCTTCAATCATGTTAATTCGCGATTCATGGAGCGGCTGTGGGACAATTTTGCAACCATCCTAATTGCAGGTAACATTAAAAACGGAAGTAATTGCTCTGTAGGCCGCTCAGCAACGTAACTGGGTCTTGGTGAAGCTCGATCCTTGCGCTGTTCTGGTAAAGTGATCCCAATTTTGCAATATCAGGATATGTCATGTGATCTCTCTTTGACGATTGTTGGGAAAATCGCGGCGATGTGGTCTCGTGTGACACATCCGAAATAGAATTCTCTGGCACATCTGGAGGACATCTGATTTCATGTGCGGAACAGCATTTATTTATGGGCCTTCCTTTGTATATTCGATGCGGCTCAAGCAGCAATTTGTGCGTGTAATCCTATCGCCCTTATGATAAGGCCACTCGCACCAATTGCTGCTCGAGACATCACCTGATTTCAAACTGAAAAGAATATTTTCTGGTTTTTTTATACGAAAGTGCTATGCGCCAGGAAAATTCTTGGCGCATAGTCAATTTGCTATGCGCCAGGAAATTTCCCGCAAAAGTAAAATTTGGTTGTTTTTAAGTTGTCAATATCACTTTACGAAGTCTAACTGTAACCAAAACGTCTGATTGCGACTACAGTCCGTTTCTTTATCACTACTTCGAAAATCGCTTTTTAATACAGTCACAAACGGTGCTGGTAGGAAGTTTTATCAGCTGTAATGTTTAGATCATATGCGCGGTAATTTCAGCTGTTAAAACTTTACTTCACACCGTTAATACGGCATATCGTTATTTTTGTTAAGACGGACTTTCTCCGGGACGTTTCTGTGCTTTTAAATTGCATCGATCTCTTTGGCGGAAACACACACCTAATTTTTTGCGGCTCGGTCTTTGTGTGATTATTCATTGGTGAAAGTAAATTAATATGCCGGCGTAGGGGTTTACTTTTACCAGCTTTGCCACTCGTGTAACAGGGCAGCCCAGCAAAAGAGATTTTTTGGGCGGGAATTCAGCACTTCCCTTGGGCGGTGAATGCAGCCGTACTGGATGAAGTAACATTTGTTTGTGCCTTTTTTCAACTTATCTTGCTTTCAAAGAAAGCAACGACGCGACGCTCATTTCCAAACATTTGATGCATCTGCTTCATATATGTACACGCCTTCATGTAATTTTTAAGCTCGTTCTAATGGTAAGACTTTAACTGCATTGCAGCGCTGGCTCTTGAACACTATCTTCCGTTGTAGTGAGATATGATATGCACAAAAACAAATGAGGAACTACAATGGACTTCATAAATGTGGTTACACTTAAAGCCGATAGCGCTATGCATACGGGTGGCTATGCGTAACCACATTTAAGAAGTCCACTGTAAGAACAAATCTTTCGTGGTGAAGTAAGAAAATCGTGTACGAATTTTTTCCGATTTTCAGAACAGCTGAAATACCACTGTGCTGCTAATACAATGTTGAAAACACAGTTGTTGCCGATACTGTAGTTCTTAGTTTTTTCGTAAACATTGAGTTCTTGGAAATTGTAGTTTGTACTTTTCGTAATGAATCTTATGTTTTACTAGGCTGGAATGTTAAACGTGCATTCACAAAATTGAAAATATCAGGTTATTAACAACTAACCAATAAATTTTGATTTTTGGCGGCGAATTTCCGGGCGCATAGCAAAACGACTATGCGCCAGGAATTTTTCCTGGCGCATAGAAAATTGACTATGCGCCATGAAATTTCCTGGCGCATAGAAGTGACCTTTTTTATATCTGATGTGTCCCAGGTCGCCCGTTGCGTGTGTGATCTTTTCGCAAGGGCGTTGAAAAGTTCCAACTGCGAGCGCGTTTTTTCGCAGTTTTGGTTCGGCACTCGGCACTACAAATGGTACGACTTCTATGGCTAACTAACAAAGTTATTCACGCTCCTTAACCCTCCAGCGGGCGGTACCCGAAGGAGTGCGAGTTTCCTTATGAAAATCGAGATTTCCCGATAAAAAAATTCAATTAAGATAGGGAATTTTTTGTGAGCTTGTGTTGACCATAGGTCAGCGGTGGTGACTATGTAGCCTGCCAACACCAATGCCCATGGACGGTCTACAGCATAAAAAGGAATAATTTTGTAAGAATAGGACGACCAGGAACTACGCAAAAGCGCTAACTTTATTAAATAGCACAAAAAAAGTACTTTAAAAAACGATTATAGAAGTGGTCAAGCAATTGACCACTGGTCAGCAAAAAATTAAAAACTACCAAAACTCGTTTTTATGTATTTTGACCACTACTACATGTATAAAACACAAAAACAAGCGAATCTAACAATATTCTTTCCCAAACTTTTATTACGCTTCCATACTTCGAAAAATTAGTTATATGGGCTCCCTGCACAATACTTTCAGATATACGGGCTCCCGGGCGCTATCGGCAACCGGTCTTGTGCGCAGTTACGTAACTACACAACAGTTTTGCAGCCGTTGATTTTGTTAGTGGATAAAAATTATGAAAATTCAGTTTTCTTGGACGAAATCAGTTTATTTATCTGTGCAAACGCAGATTTTATGTTGTGTACTGAAAATTTGAGACTTATTATTTACAAGCCTTACCTTTTAACTCGGTAAATGGATCGTGAAGAGGCAATTTTGTCTGCTGTACGATCCGTTCAAGAGGGCATTTTATCGCGGAATGCTGCTGCCAAGCGTTATAACGTTCCCCGCGCGACTCTCTACAACCGACTACAAGGACGTGGGCAACACAAGCGTGGATGTTGGAGAAAGAAGTTCACGGACGGAGAGGAGCAGTATCTGGCCAACTTTCTGCTGCACTGCGCCGACATCGGTGTTCCTTTGAACAAACCATGTGTCCGGAAGCTTGTCACCAGCATGGCCACGGAAAAAGGTAAACAGATGCTACCACTTGCTGTAATTACTCATCGTTTCAAACAATGTACTGTTTTCTGGTGAAATAAAAATTAATTGTTGTTAAAACAACAAAATTTTATCGTGAATACGATTGATTTTGTTGTTGTAGGAATGGTCGCTAAGTTTAGTGACGGCTGGCTCTCATCGTTTCTGCGGAGATATCCCGACTTATCGCGTCGCATTACGCACGGTGTCAACAGGAAAAAGGCCAGAGAATGGACTGCCGAGAACTGTGAGGGGTGGGTGACTCTGCTGAGTGAACTACATATAGAGGGATGGCTGGACGATCCAGCTGCAATTTGGAATTTAGATGAGAGTGGATTTTCTACAGCCGAGAAAGTCGATTTCGTATTCGCTCGAAAGGGGACGAAGAACGTTTTATCCTATTACGATGGAAACGATAAAGAGGTGATTACCGTGTTAGCTGGAGGCAACGCTGCGGGAACCATTCTACGTCCTCTCATCTTATACGATGGAAAAATGCACATAGCGTCTCGTTATCGTGGGACACAGGACCGGTGCTGGCTGGGTGTCAACCATTCTGGCGTAATGGACACCGATGTCTTCTTGGAGTATTTCGAAAAAGAGGTCCTTCCGCGGTTGACTGCTCCAAAGGTATTTAATAATAATTTTTTATTATGATATTGCTAGCAAGTGTATTGTTGTATATTATAATGTTATAATTTTTTGTTTATCATTTCGTATTTTTGTTTGTTTTTAGAACTTGATTATGTTGGACGGTCATAGTTCCCATGTCTACAACGAGAAGTTTCTGCTGCTTTGCGCAAATTCCAAACAAAATATTCGGGTGGTAATATTTCCTGCTGGTCAGACATGCCGAACCCAACCGCTCGATTTAAGAGTCTTTGGTCCCGTAAAACGTTGCTGGAAAAATGTGCTCCGCGAAAAGAATTTGACTGTCAGTGCAGACGAGGTAAATTTTTATTTTTATTAATCTTTAATAAAGTGTTAGCATTTTCAGTCGTACAAATAATGTATTTTGTGTTAATAGGTTTCCAAACAGAACTTTGCCCTGGAGCTTATGGATAAGTGGGAGGATTTTAATATGCCAGCCAACATTCAGTCCGGTTTCCGTGAAGCTGGCATTTATCCTTTTGATCCCGCGATTGTGTGCAAAGATTTTCCCGGGACGGTGCCGTCAGTTCCCTCAGTGACAGCGATGAAGCCCAGTGATGTGTACGCAAAAGAGTTTGAAGAGGTTCGCACTGCTTATCGCAAAATTCACCCATTTTCGGATAACCAAATTGAGCAATTTCTGGAAAAAAGCAAGCAAGTTCTGGACGGTGTTATTCCAGCAGTATCCCCAAAGCGAGCAGCAGTCGAGTTTAAAGACAAATTATGCGGCGACAAACCAGAGAAACGACGATACGCGAAGGACTCTAGGTTATGCACTGTTAAAGGCGCTATCGCAACGGAATCTGCATTTCTGGATGCCTTAAAAGATCGGAACGACAAAAAACGTCGCCCGCTCAAAAATGTCACCAATTCCAAGAAAAAATAATTTGTTTGGAAACTGGTTGTTTTTGATTTTTTGGTTGTTTTCGTTGGTAAATTTCGTCGTTGTGATCAAAAGAATATTTTGTTTTAATTTCTGGTAGTGTCAGTTGAGCGGGCATTTTTAATTAGCCGGGAGCCCATATATCTGAAAGTATGGTGCAGGGAGCCCATATAATTAATTTTTCGAAGTATGGCATTTTACGTAGTACTCTTTATGTATTTTATCACTGCAATTGGTGCACTTCTGGCACGCCAAGCGGCCTTTGCATGGTCCGCGCATGCAGTTTTTTGGGTGCGGCCGCAGTTGCCAGTGTCGGGAAAGCGACGTGGATGGTCCAGCTGCAGTGGTGATTGTTGCCAAATCATACAGGCTAGCCCTTTTTCGAATGCGTTTACGGCCGGCCGGGAATGCACAAGCAGCCAGCCGCAAAGGTCGAAATTGACTGTGTGCTCATAACAGTTTCCAATAGCTGTAATTTGCAGTCGTCCAAGCTGGTCGAAACTCAAAATTTGCATGTTTTTTCAAAACCTCGCGGCGCCATCGCTATACTTGCACAAGCGATGCATCGCAATCGTAGGTGGAAATGCGACAGAGTGCAGTGTGGTGCTGCCATTTAGCAGAGTTTCCTTGAACATTTTGTTGTCGGGAAATGTTGTTACCTTGTACAGCATTGTTTGCTCTTTTGCCGACCGCCCAGGGTGTTGGTCAAAAGAGCGTTTTTTGCCAGCTTGCGACAACCGGAACCGCGTAGCGCATGTTTTTAGTACGAACCGGCGGTAACTTGATCCAATTACATAATGAAAATCATTTGTCGAAATTGCACCCGCCCATGTATTCGCGACCCTTCATGGGCATTGTTGTCAGCAGGCTACGCAAGTTTTTGACGGACTGTGGTCATCTATGGTTCAACTTATAGAATCGATATTAGGCATTTTGAATAAAGCGTTGTCAATTGTACCTTGTTGATTTATCTCCGGTTTGTTTGTTCATCCGCTAATTAGTTAAGTAGCACGATTAACGGCAGCTTGAAAAGTTCCAAATTAGCTATTTTCGCGCACCTGTCGGTCTTAACTAACTTGAGACACAAGTTGAAATTATGTTTACACTGTTGCTTTAAAGTCCCATGTTACTTATTACATTAAGAGATAACGAATAACTGTTGCCGATCGCTGGGGGAAAAATCTCAAACACCTTGTAGCCTCCTGACACCAATGCCCGTCAACGGGTTAAGTCACCTAATGGCCACACGAAGTATCAAAAGTAATTTTTTTATTAACCATCATGCGACGGGCTAGCACTAAACCCTTGATTCTTGATAAAATTTCTTCCTCGGCCGAGCATTGTGGATTATTAGGTTCTTTAGTAGCGGAATCCGGTTACAAGCAACATGTTCGGTCATTGGCAGCAGAGCCATGAGCATGTTCGCACCCTGATTCGTACAGGTGTTCTTTTCCGGCAAGGTACGAATTTCTTAACCGAAATTCTCCTCATGCCAATAAACGATACTTACACCGTGTATGCATGGTACATTACATACAGTACTCGCATTTTTTAAGCTTCGCATGGAATTTTAAATACTGCGCGGTACAGGGCACCGTGTGCAGTCACAACGGCTTTCCCATACAAGAATCCGTTGGTCACTTGGTAACAACACCAATAACTGCAGCCTTTCGCGTAGAGAGTGGCCATGTATCAAGTTAGCAACTAATAATATGTTAAATCTTGAAGCAGCCTATTTTAATTTTCGTATGAATATTTATTAAGCGGAACTGTTGGTAAGAACGGGCCACAGTCAATCCACTGGATTTTTGTTTCGTCTTTTAAGCTTTGAGATAATAAAGCGCGGCAACACAATGAATTGTTACTTTACTTTGCACTATCCATTTTCATAATTCAGTATTAAAATACCCGATCGCTCCCTACTAATTTTGTGATACTTATTTGTTAAGAAGAACTGTTGTAAGAACGGGCGGTAGTCGTTCCACTTGATTTCTGTTTCGGCATTTAAGCCTTGAGATGATAATAATGTGCGGTAATGCAGTGCGTGTACTACCTTCAGATACAGTCCCATCTTGCGCTGGCTGGGAGTCTGGGACTAACTTTTCATTGGATTGTGTTTAGGTTAAAAACAGAAAATAAATAAAATAAGTAAATCATAGCAATATCATCGTCATATGACCAGGTTAAAGCTAACCATCGTAATCAGACTAAATAAATAAATTATTATCAAGCATACACGATCATTCGCTCCTAATTTTGTGATGTACATGAAACAAATTTAGGTACTTTTTTTGTTACCTTGTGTATTTTTGTTTCCAGGTACTGTATTTATTAAATACGCGTAATTATTAAACAACTTCATCGGTGAATAATTAATATTATCGCGAAAGTTTTACGCACGGACAAGAAGAGCACGTTACAGAAGGCGGATACAGCCACCACTTAACAACCTATACGCAGCGTTTACTGTAAAAAGAAGCAATAGAACTCTCTCTGTACAAGTGCAAAATCCTTTTGCAGAACAAGAAAAAGAACAACTTGGCGTGCCGCATTAATCGCGAACACTCGTGGAATGTTTTCTGTGGACATGGAATGGCGGGGATCACGGGGAATTCACGGAGCGGCAAGTGTGGAGGTTAACAGCGGCGCGCGCTTTGGACAGCTTTAATTTCACTCCCATGAATTCACTCTGCAACCGGCAAAAATTAACGTTTGATACGCGATACAAAAGTCACCTTTAATAAAATTCCTTGTTCGTCGCATTTATAATTTATTTAATTTATTTTCTACTACTTGAGTAATTTAGTTTTAAATGTATAATTTTATTGTATAAAGTCTTTGGTGGATTTGTGCTAACCTGGTCGAGATCGATGCATCCGTGGAAGGACGGCTGCGCGTCATCCCCGCCCACATCGTCATAATCCAGTCCGCCGATGTAAAAGGCGTTACTTGACAGTGTCAGCCGTGAGAAAGCCCCGTTGTACAATATTTCCTGCCGGTCGGCCCCGTCCCCGCCACTCTCCACGATTAACTGCAGGTAGCGGCCGCTGCGCAGGACGCTGACTGTGTACCACACTCCGGGCTGCAGTGGCGTTTGTGTTCTATGAAAATCAATTTTTAGTGATTTAGTTTCATCGTCTTAATTTAAAAATAATTTTTTGTTTTCAGTGTCCTAATAACAAATTAATTTTTAGTTCATGTATTCCACTGTCCTAATTAGTTTTTCATTTTTTTATTCAATCAAATAAAGGGGAGGGACATACCGCGCTAAAGAGTATCCCTCGCCGAGATCCACCGCCACCTGCAGGTGGCCCGCGGCTAGACGGATTTGTAATGCGTCGGAGAAGGCGCTGCGCCGCTGCCGCCCCATGTGCAGCAGTACGCCGCTCTCCACATCCGCTGGCCGGAAGGAGACGCGCAGTTCTGTGGAGGCCTCCAGAGAGATGTTGCGGGAGAGATCGTACAACAGGTAGGATGTCCCGTTGAACATGGGCAGTTGGCTGTCCAAATCTATATTCCACCCGGCAGTTTAACTTAAATTCTATTTATTAAAACGTGAATGTTTACCGATTTCGCAACGGGCGCCCACGTACGGCACTACGCAGTCGCACCGGGGACTGTTGTCTTCGTCCGCGATGCACTGGCCGTCGTGTAGACACTGCACACCATCGCAGGCGTCCGTTATGCAGCGTTCTGCAAAGGTCACATATTAGATTACTGAGAAAAGATATAGTTAATAAGAAGGACGCACCAAGGTTGATGCCGGCAATGATGGTACCGTAGGGCAGCGGCTCCAACGGAAAGGTCTTCCCGTTGCTCTCCAGACTGAGCAGGCAGCCCACAAAGCCGCTGCGCGACACCAGAGCGTCGTGCGGCAGCCCGTCCATATCGGGCAGCCCGCCCAGGTAAATGTTCTCCGTGGCTTTCAGCCGTTCATCCAGTAATTCCTACGAGATGACTTTGTATTTCCGCCGGAAGTAAAGAACGTATTGCCTGTTACCTGTACGACGGTGGCAATCTTGTTCTCGTTGGATACTCGCAGGAAGAAGAGGTTCTTCCGACGGCCGACATGTACCGGCACACTGTCGCCCAACGGTACCTGCAAGCAAGCGAAAAAATAATTTAAATTTTATAGCTCAACATAATTTTACACCGTAACACTGAAGTACAGCATAATTATATAGATAAGTACGTATAATTAATACCATATACATACATATCCAAATAAACGCGACAGTAATTATGTCAATGACTCAATGCATGCCAATATCACATTATATAAGTACCCATATATGCTACATACATACAGTTATACAGTATTACAGTTGATACAAATTACATTTAGGAAAACTTAATTTACACAATATAATTACGAAAAAATATGGAAGTTTGTAAGCAATGTAGAACTCATAGATATTATACAGGATACTTTATAGATAAACAAATAAACACGATATATTGCATTATTTACCCATATTGTAAAGAATAATACTACTTTGTACATAAGTGCGCATTTATTATACAGCCCTGCTCCGCCACACGCGGGCAGTTGCACAAAATAAATTAAAAAATACTTCTGTGCGCCGTTTAGTTGTCTCATTTGCACTTTTCTGGTGTAACTTTTTGTTGCGGATTCAAAGATCCCAAAACTGAGATCTTTTGAAGTGTCCGTAGCGAGCCAAGCCGTGTTTAATGGGAGGGGGTAGCGGCCGTTTTTTAGATGCTTATACTAGCCTTCATAGCAATTTCAGCAACCGATTTTCTTGGGTTGACCTTTTTGTAAATTATTGACACACCCAAAAGGTGACTGTTACGGGTTAACAAAAGTACCTTGCGCAATCAGTGCTCGAGGTGAACCCAAAACAAGATCTGTCTCCCACAGACTTGTATGGTTAACGGAACCTTCTGAAGAATGAGGATGCCAGGAGAACTAAGAGTTGTAGAGATGATGTTAAGGATTAAACGGAAGTTGGGAAGGGACCAATAGAAAGCTACGCTGCCCTTTGCTTGCTTTCATTCGTCTAGGATTTTTAAAATATTATTGATCAGACACAGATATTTCTTGATAAGCAACCTGATTTTTTCGAAAAAAATTAAAGTATAACTTTTGCTCTCATTCCCTGCTCTTTCGCTTCTTGCTTAGAAACATATTTTAGAAAGTTGCTATAGACCAAGGACTATCATGCAAAAATAAAGTTTAAATGATACACTTCAACATTCGAAGTCAGGGGAATTTTATTACTGCCCGCGTGTGGCGGAGCAGGGCTGTATCTGCACATACATAAAGATTCGTTATATACCTAACAGTATATGTTATGCGAATCATTTTTACAATAATTTTTACAAGATATGCACAACTTTATGGCATATGCTTACTTTAAAACGGCTCTGCAAATTGACCGACTGCTGTCGCATACGCATCCGCAGCGTCACGTATCCCTCCACTAATTCAAGAAGGATAAAATTCCGATCGGCCAGCAGCGTCTCGCCCGAGTAGAAGATGAGCCCGTTCTCCGTGGCCGCCCGCAGCTGCAGCCGCAGATCCAGCCGGTAGTCCCAGTCGGTCGACAGCGGGAGGACGGCGTAGGAGTCGCCGGTAAAACGCGGCTTATTTATAACCACATCTGCAATCAACATTCCTATGCAGATAAAACGGGAGAATATCAAGCGTTACGTACGTTGCTCGCAGTGTTGTCCGGCGCGGCCCAACGGACACAGACACCGGTAGCCGTGGACCCGGTCAACGGCGCACACGCCGCCGGCCACACACACAATACTGGCACAGGGGGAGCTGCTGCTGCTGGCCGGCGCGGGCGCAGCGTCAACGTGGAGGGAATCCGGAATCGGGAGGCTATTGCGCAATGAGCTGGCGGACGGCGTATCCGCCTGACTGACGAGATCTGCGGGAATTTAAATAACCAATAAGGATAAATGTCAAGTTCATCAAGCAGCGGAATTACCGAGACAAGCGTAGCCGTTGTGCGCCAGCTGGAATCCGTCGCGGCAGGAGCATTCGTACGTGCGCGGACTGTGGTTGGTGCAGACGTGCTCGCATGGATTGCTGACGTCCTCGCATTGCCCTGCAATCAAACGAAACAAGCAATAAATACGCGGCTAATCAACACCGACGCCGGCATTAAGCGCCGTCGATAGCAATTAATGCCGTTGAAGTGATGAGCATTACGAGCGCGGCCGGAAGGGCTCCCCAACGGCGGCCGATGAATATTTATGAGGAAGCCGGCAAATTGCTTATATGAGTATGTTGCGCGATCATATCGGCCGAAATCGATGCTAAATCAGTCGTGAGGCCGGGCTATAGCGTCGGGATATCAGCAATCGGCGGAGAGCGATTTATGAATATTTGTATATTTATTCCGCACGAGGGATTCCGCTCGGCCGATCCCGGAATACATATGCAGATGTGTCTCTCGGCGATCGATACACGGGGAAGATGAGTCGAGGGAGCCCACTTCCGCCGCTAATGGACAACCGCCCGGCCCACGCCAATGATCAGGGGAAATTTGCGTAAAACGCACAAGATTACGCGAATTTATGTATGCGGGCGTCTTGCTAATGCACCGGCCGTCTTCCGCATTTTAATTTGTTAGAAAATTATTTCTCCAATCTTCCGCAAAAAAATGCATTTTTACGCGAATTCTGTTTGCTCAAATAATGATTACATGAATTTATTTTCAGGCGCTCTGAGATTATCACCGATGTATTACATCGGTGATTTTCCGCAGTTTAATTTCTTGGAATAATATTTTTTAATCGCCCGCATATATAAAAAGCCGGTTGTGTGATTTATTTGCTAAATTAATCAGTGCATAGTAAACATAATAATAAAGCTGCTTATTGTAAAAGCTTATGTAAACTTCAGGCAAAGTGTTTATCGGATAAAGAGAGTTTAGCGCAGCCCTGGCGTATTTTTAATTAAGCCAGTATTTTCCATTACGCCGCTTCCTGGCCGGCTTCCGATGAAAGTTCCGTTTGAGCCGGTGGTGCAGCGGAAATGGCGCTGTAGTGGAGGAGGCGTGCTGGGCTGGATGAGGGAAATATTGGCCCGCGCCGAGAGGCTGTAATTGCGCCTCTCAGGCTGGCCCAGAGGATCCTCTAACCCAACGATCAAACCCATCGTGCCTGTAATTATAACCATCTCCGCACCGGCCACTGGTCGTCATAACTTAAGGCTGTCCTCGCTGCATAACAAGCCTGATTAAATAAACAGCCCCGATGATGACAGCGTCCAGTCCGCACTTGACCAGACCCGCGTTGTGATTATCCACTATTCACTCTGTTTTATCGATCGCGAAGTTAATGCGATTGTAAAGAAACCTCGTGCGGGTGTGTATATATATGTAGATAGGTCGAAAATGCAATTGCCGGACGTTGTCACTTATCTGCTGTGTGCAGAAGCGTTTTAGGAAGAAAGTGGGGCTTGTTTAACACGCATCATATGCCAGCACTTAAGCCGCGCTTTATCCGCGGTCCACAATTTACTGCGCGGACGAATTAGAACACCACGCATTACCCATGCAGATTTTCCAGTCTTAGCCTGGATTTCGGGAGATTGCCCTGCGATCAATAAACAGACCTACGAACTATCCAGAAAGGTCAAGTCTGTTTCCGGTCGTATTCCAGAATTTTTGCTAGCAAGTTGTGTAGAAAATTCGCTGGGTGATCGATACAAATAAAGTGTGTGTCGGCATAAATGACGGTACTGTCGGAAGTGCGAGTGTGTTGATCTTCCCGTGGAGAGGCCCTAATGGGGCGCTATTGAGCCGCGGCGGACAAAGCGCCGCGAATTAAAGATAAACACGGTGTGCGCCCTACATTCCGGCAGCGTCAACACTTCTCCAACAAAACTGTGTACACTTGCACAAAAAAATTATGCATCTGCCGAACCGGCGCTTCTTTTGTCTGCGCCAGCCGTCTGCTGAGGAAACTTCATCCCGGGATGAAACCGGGATGAAAAAAAGAAGTAACAAACCCTGCCTTATTGCTGCGTATACATGCACAGAAATTCTGCGCATCTGCCAAACATGCGCTTCTTTTCTGTGTCCGACCGTTCGCTTGGGAAACTTCATCCCTGGAAGAAAGCGGGAAGAAAAAAAGGAACAAACGCTGCCTTATTGTTGCGTACATTTGCACAAAAAAATACGCCCCTTGTGAATAAGAGCCTTTTTTATTTGTCTGGTTGTTTGCTGGGGAAACTTTATCCCAGGATAAACACAGGGGTGAAAAAGGGAAGAAACGCTGGAGTATTGTTGTGTGCATTTTGGCGCGACGCATCAATCAAAGTGACCTGCAACTGCCAGGGCAGTTGATGTGTCTGCGTGCCGTACAGTCCATTCTGGCGTTAATTTAGTCCGTTTCACGCCTCATCTCGTCCAGGATCATCCCGGATTACGTTCATCCCGTACACGCTGTACAACTCGCAGCAGCACAGCCACTTTACCCGGCTTGACACACTTTCGGGCTCAGTCTGCCTGTGCTCTTTCCGGCTCTGTCAATAGTCCCGGCTTCATCGTCTGTCAGCATTGGAAATTAGCGATTAAACGCTGCATGTTGACCGGATTGTACAAGAATACAACCGGTGCAAATTGTGTAAAAGGTACATTCAATTTCCCCCAAAGCAAACACACCGTGATTCACCGGTGTAAAACTGCTAGAACATCGGCTGATGTCGTAACAATTTTGAAGCAGTGTTTCGGAACATTAACCGGTGGAACGGAACGCGCGTTGCGAAGCGGAATGGACGATGTATAAGCAGCCTTAATCAAGCCATTTATATACAGCTCACTCGAGCGTCGGCGTTCCGCGTAGGCAGCGCCCGCATATATCAATTCGCCGGCTTTATCAGCCAAAAATATTTGATCAGCATGTATTTCACTTGTCACAGCCAATTACATTATGCACTCCATTCAAGCGCACACTATTATGTATTCCGCGTTTTTCCCAGAAATTCCGTTGCATGACGCAACTGAAAAGGAAAAAAAGGAGAAGAAAATTGCGGATGACAGTGAACAGCGGTGGTAATGCGGGGAGCCATCAGCTGCCAGGGAATATTAACACTTTAACGACGGCTTGCATCATCCATCACTGATAACCCAGTTTGATGAGTTTTATCAGCTGCGCACCGTCATTCTTTCTCCAGCAACGTCTTTCGCTGTTTTCCCTTCGTAATTGTCTTAGCCAGGCACCGCACTCCGCCGCTCGATCGATAAATCATTTTTTCCCCGGCGCGGATCCGCCGCACTGTGTACACGTTGTTGATTAAGTGCGCTGGAGACGAGTGAGAGAGTGCGGGAGCGGATCAATTGTATGTGTAATGCCGCATGTAAGTTTCCGCATAATCGCCTTCATGCGCCGGCTCAATTATTGGATTAGCACACATACTGCGCCGGCCAGGAATATCGCCACGATGACAGGTGAATGCCGGTGCTTTAATGAGGGAACGCCGCGGGAGAGCAGGGAGCGCAGGATCGGAGGGGCGGCTACGTGTCACCAGATGCCGGCTAATTACAGCGCCCGCTGCTGCGTAGAAGCGGCAATCAGCCTGATTACGACTCGGATTAATGCGGCCAATATATCGGACTACAGTCTTCCTCGCTGCCCATCGATCGCATCGAATAAATAGCCCCTGGCCAAGCCCGTCCCGATCAATGCAATCCCTTAATGCATTTTCAACATACACTCTACTAAAATGTCTACTCCCTAATAATCCATTTTCCCTGCACTTTGCCTGCACTTTAACCACGCCGTATTTTTCATTAGGCGTAATCAGCGCAGAACACACTAAAGGTTTCTGATTAGCGCCTATAAGGCTGCTTGACAATTAGGTGCTGGTAAGAAAGAGCCGAGCGTGTCGCTACTTGACCCATATTGGCAAGACGGATCAAGAGAGCTTGTTGCCGGGCGCTTCCTTCCTTCCTCTCCAGTTGTACTTTATACACACACTACACCCTAATCCTTCCTACCTTGAAAGGCCGCCTCGAATACCGGCTCCGTGTCCAGCGCCCGGACGCCGCAGAGCCACACAATCCACAGCCGGTAAATAACATCCATCGTGGCGAACGTTCATCAACAATCCACCGCTACATCCCGCGTTCCGAGAAAAGCGAGCTTAGCACGCCGTCTCATCGCTGCAATTAGTCTGCTGAAGAAAGGCGCGTAGCGTGCGGGAAAGGAAATAAATATTGCTTGCGCTTAGTGCTGCGCGTAAATGAGCAATTGTCGTGACAGCCGATGAATATCCGCGCAGCCGTGTGGGAGTTGTTGTGTGCTGTATAGATAAAACAGCGCGGTATATATCGCGCGTGGGTGCGGAAATGAACCGGGAGCGAGTGTATACGTGAGTCAGCGGCGCTGGAATGGCTGTGTTGGCTGGATCAGTCTGTCAAGCAGTCCGGTTACGCAGTGGAAAGGGTGGCGTGGCATCTGCGCCCGCAGCCAGAAGAATATATACCCCGACTGAGTGTGCACAATGCCCCGCCTGTGCTCTGTGTGGCCGTTGATCGGGCCGGACGCTATCAGTCGTCGTCCCGCGGCAGGCCGGGATGAATGGGATGAATGTGCGTGCACACACGCGCTTCCTTCGCGCAATGTACACGCTCGCGGTTCAACGGAACTGAGGCGAGCGCTGTAGCTGAGTCTATCATACGATACTCCCCATTCCCGTGGATAAAGTGTTCCTACTGCGATCGATATTGCAGTTGTACTGTACATATACGGTGTACCACAGGAACGGCTCATGTGTACTGTACATACATCGATACTCCGTCCCCAACTAAACGCCACACCGGACCGGACACTGGATAGTGGCATGGCTGGAATTCTGGGGTTCAAACACTGCTAGCTCACCGTCTTTAGCTTGTCTTCCTCAGCGCTAACCGGACACAGGCGACAAAATGTGCCGCAAGACAGTGCAATAGTTCGTAGGCAAAAATAATAATGCAGTACCTGTTTTCTAATTCAAGTTATAATAAGGTTCTTACGCATACGACGCTCGATATCCTTCAATCGATACTTTTATTCAGCCTTCCAAAACATACATACAGACACAATGTAGATTACAGCTAGCATGTTTTTTACGTAGCAACGGATCACAACTAAAATGAGTGCGCTCGTGCATTTTTCACACACAGTATTTCATATTATTAATAAATTTTGTTTGGTACCTTGCAAAAAAAAACTTGAAAATTAATATGAACTAGGACAAATGCACGTTGGCGTGCATGTGGTAGACCGGAACGCAGCATTTCCTTTGAGTGTGCCATTTCATTAACTGATTTACTAAAAGAATAATAATTATTATACCCATGACCACAGCAACAACAAAATTACATTGTGGGATTTTTATAATTGTTGCCAACAATTATAAAAAATCCCACAGTGTAATTTCTAGTAAATCCCGTTTGACTATTCGAAACTCTGTCGGCAGTTTATGACCAGACTGTACGGCCTCAACATCCCTTCCAGCCGCAGGCAGTGCGATCTCGGTACCTAAGGAGAAACGAATATAAACTTGCGAAAACGGCGAAAATGTTGCAATTGCAAAAGCCAAAACAGTTTAATTGTAAACTTACTTTGCTGGGCGGACTGCTGTTTGTGATGGATGGAAAAAATCTTGCATCACGTAGCCACCGCATACCAATAAACCAAAAGTTATTCCGGAGCCCGCCATAATTAGAAAACGATATCTCGCAATGTGGGATATCATTTTCTAATTATGGCGGGCTTGTGGGACCACTGTGGGAAGCAGTGTGAGACCCACTTTGCTTCCACTTGCAGTAAATTTGCTGGATTTGTTGTGTCCTGCTAGCTAGCTAGATTAATGTCACGGACAAATTACAGGAGCGCTCCTGTAATTCGGCTCTCCGGTAATATTTCCGTGACATTAATTCGACAATTTGCTGATGGATGAAGATGCAAGTTTGTTTGCGCGATCGATGAATTCTTTGCTCCAAGATAAATTTTGCGAGAAAAGAATTTTGGCGTCGCATTGATAGACATGGAAATACACGCTGAATTTACGCCTTATACTACTAAGAATGTGTACACATTGTTCGTATTATACGGCGTGAATTCGTCGGCACAATGACTGATCCGGAAAAAAGTTGCTTATCCGTAAAATTTATCTTTGATCTCAGACTTCATGGTCAAAGATAAATTCTGCTGACAAGCAACTTTTCAAAAGCCGACTCAGGATCAATATCATTGAATCCGGTTTCGTTGGTGGAGTTGGTTACAAACGCACTTGGGAAGACTGATATTATGATATTTCCTATCAACACCTTCGGATATGATGCACCATATGCACAAATTGTAACAATTATTATAATCCCGTCGCTCCTTTTCTGAGTTAAACGACAAATAAGAGAGGTTCCCGGTACTACGAATGATGTAGCTGTAGGTAGATTTTAAACAGGGCTAAACGTAAGTTGATTATAAATCCCCCAAAGGACTTAATAAACCGGCAAACAACCGTTTTGAAAGCGACGGGCTGCTTATAGGGGCCGGATCGAATCCGCCAACATAATATCAATGCCCGAAAGAGCTGATCAGTCCGATGAGAAACAGTTTTGAGTTGGAATTATGATCCCAGAGATCCGGTAAAGAATATGTATGATATTGAATAATTAACTTTGTTTATCGCTAGCGCATGGCTGATGGCGCAAACAAAGGTAGTCGGTAATGCCATGCATCTCAAGTTGCATAATTTTTCTTCTTATTAAACTTAATATCGCAATTATCCAGTTAGAGAACAGCCAGCTCCAGATCAAATGGCACCGCGACATTTCGCCGAAGACAACTAGCCGCAGGACATCGGTCGGAGACATTTCGCCGCAGGTTCATCTGGCCATGGGACGTTCCACCGCGAGACATTTGTTCGACCGGACATCGCGCCGCAAGTCATCGCGTCGCGAGGCCATTTCGACGCCGAAACATTTCGTCGAGATATCAGAAAGCATAAAACAGCACAAGAAAACATGAGAAAACATTACGAAATGTCCGCGGCCGGCTGTCTTGCGGCCAAATGCCGCAGAGGTGAAATGTCTCAAAGCTAGATGTCCCAAACCGAAGTGTCCCTGCCTCCTTATGTCCTGTGGAAAACTGTCTACGTGACGAAAATTCGCGCATCTAATTTGAGGGCGGCGAAATGTCCCACTCCGAGTTGTCCGGCTGCGTATCGAATGCTCATGTGACGCATCTACCCATCGCCAAGACCAAAATTCATTGAACAACGATGGTGATGACAATCGTAACATGGTGTTCCACTGTATTACAAGTGGATTTACCTCTTTCCCGACGACTATCGTCAAAATACAACGGTGTACCGATCCATGGAAATTTTCCGTCGGCAGAACGATCGTCAGGACAAAGATCGGTTTTATCTGCAGTATTAAATTACGATACTCGTAATACATCGCAGTGGCAAATGTAGCGCTAGTCGACGGTGGAACGACCGTCTATGAGGAATACGGTGGGCACCTCGGCTTTGCCTGGGCGGCTGTTACCGGTGCGAAACTTACAGCGGTATTCAAATTTATATTTTGGTTTGGATACCTTTATTCGGTTCCTGACTACCATGAGCGGAACCAGGTCAAATGTTCATAACAATATTCATCATCTAATGATTTCATAAGTCGGTATCATCTAATGATTTTCATCTAATGATTGTTTAAGTAATAAGTACTGAGTAACTTCGATCGTTTTCGTATGTGCACCGGAAACAACTAATTTTATTGCCCCACGAGACCTTTCGGGTCCTGGTAAAAGCAAAACACACTTTTCAAACAATTATGGCAAATTAATACTGTATATATAATTGTTTTGCAAATCCTGTTTAGTATTTTTCGGATTTTGCCTTGAAGCAGCTTTGCTACTTTGGTAACATCGATATGTAAATCCTTCGCCGACATTGTTTACAACGGAAAATACTGCCATATACCATTAATGATTATTACTGTACACGTTCGCGATAAACATACACGTATCCTGAATCGGTCAAGCATAAATTAGGCAGAACGCTGAGACTTAGAGTATGCATACAAAAGAGCCGTCTTCAGATACAGCCTCTTTGTACATGTACGTACCGGCAGAGAAGCAGTGCATTGCTTGTGTACGCCGGTGGGTGCTACTGTATACATACATGAATACAAGTCACTTAATTTGTAATTCATTTAAAATACTATGTATGATATACCAGGTGCTGCGCACACCATAATACGAGTGCTTTGTTATTTGTAACAACTGTAAAGCAGAAAGTGCACTCGCTTTTTGCGCACAGTGCATGACCGAAGCGTAGGCTGGTTACATGATATACGTAATAATAAAGGTAATTTCTTGTGGTGGGCCTGATGGCACTGCTGTACTTATCTCATTTTTGTAGAGCAGCATTACGTTTGTCATAGTTCTACAGAGTACCACTGTTGCGAAGTACAGTAACCGTATTTTACGCGGCAAACTGTTAGAATGCCTACCCCAGTTGCCGGTTCAGAAACAGTCCTCGGTCAATATTGCATGAAAGCTGTTTTCGTGCCCTTTTCTTCAGAACATAGATTTTTATTCAGCCGAATATGACGCATTTTATCGTAGCGCATATATAGGGGGAAATCGATAGCATACCATACACCTTCCCTGTACTCCTCCAGTCATCCGTATGGATTTCCACGTCATGGCTAAACAGGGTTTTCAAAAGCGCCACATTTATACCTGCACATTGATTGCTGTAAAGTCGCTTTACCGGGTGGCCCAACAAAATGGCGGTCTCCGTTTTTAGCCCGTTTCTCGAGAACCACTTGTCGCACTCTGAACTATTTTAACTCGTTTGATAGACATTTTTAATACCTACCAAAAACATTAAGACGTTTCATTTTATATCGCCAGGATCTCGTAATCAATAATGCCAATTGACACGGTGTCGAAATTTATCATGACCTAACTCGCAGACTTTAAAATTTCGTCTCGCTTCTTTCCCGTTCGACATTTTCAAATGGTTTCAAATGTTTGGTAAGAGAACGATAACTTCTTTTAATAAAAATAATATCTGTTGGCATGGTGCACGCGCTCGATAAACTATGCGCCAAACAAACTTTTAATTTTTTTGACTTTTTTTTCTTTGGTGTTTTAGGCATTTTCAGTTACAATTTTTATGTACATCACAGGGTGGAACAAAAAAAGACTGGTCCACTGATAATTGTAGCCAGGTGGAAGCCCTTTGGAAAACAAGTTAGAATCAGGACAGTTGTCGAAGCGCTGGTATGGGAATTGGTTTCGAAAAGCTGACTTTCGAATTTCACAAGATTGACCCAAGTGGATTTTTTTATCTTCCCGTTTGTTTAGGCCTCAGGTTCAGTAGAATGCCAAAGTTTGTGCACTAAAACAACAGGGAACAATCCCTTTATCGGAATCAGTAAAAGTGAGACTCCATAACCCACTTTGCTGGATTACTGCAATTTTTAGTTTGGAAATTGGAAACGGAGAAAAAGAAATATTCGTTTCTGGGACATCCTCAAAATCTGATCATTTTCGGAAACTATTTCATAAAAATCTCAAACCGTTGTTAAACTTCTATCTAGCTAAATTTTTATATGTAGGAATATTTTCTCTTTCAAATGAAATTAATGGAGTGTCCATAGAACACTGGACGGACCCAGCGCAGCTCATTAAAACAGACCGCCATTTTATTGGGCCACCCGGTAGTAAGCGTATCTCGAAATGCGCATGAATGATTACCTTCAAACTGCCCTGTATTCCTGGAAAATCTCTTTCCTATTTTTTACATGAAGATTCACAAAGACCTCAGAGTTAAACATTAAAAAAAACGAAATTTTTGGACTTCCGGCGTGTGACGCAGGTGGCACCGCCCGGAGTGGCACCGTGATTTGGCTCACATTTTGAAAGTTTTCGAAACTGGAGCAGTACAGGCCTACAGGGAAGGTGTATAGTATGCTATCGATTTCCCCTTATACAGGAAAGATACAGAATATACGCGGCTATTCATATGCGCCTAGATGTTATGCTCGCGGGCGGACGGTTTTGTGTAACTATCCACATAATCCTCCGGTGCTGCGCCTTTCGCCGCAGGCCGCTTGTCGTGGGACACTTTGCTGCAGACACTTCGCCGAAAATTCAACCCTTTACAGGACTATTCGTCGCATTACATTAGGAGGCAGAGATGCATACATAATTCGTCAATTATTGCCCGAAGATACATCTTTTCCCTGCCATAAGACTTTGTGCAGTGGTACCTTCCATGTGCTACACAACCGACGAATTCCAAGGAAAGTGGAAACACTGGCTGACAGAACGCCGTCGACAGAGGAATTCCAATAATTATTACCAATATGCAATTTTTCGTTTTTGTTATGCAAACAAATTTTATTGTTATTTGGTAGCATTAGCATTCCTTCGGATCGCACAGCAGTTACGTAAAGGTCAAAGATTTGTTGACGGCTTGCAGATTTACAAGATTGAGGAGATCCGGCAGAACATGTCAGGCATGATGCAAAAGCTGGCCAGTCTGATCGGCGAGGACGGCCAGCAAGGGCAACACTGGCTGTCACACTCAGAAGATAAATCTTCTCAACGCATTCCGCGAAATTACTTGCGCCAAACCTCCCTATGCACTGCCGGAATCTTCGCTGCCGGATGTACTGGCTGTTTTGAAACTGAGAAACAAATGATTGTGTCTGCGCGTTACCGACACACGTTGATTGGTCGGCTAATGAATACCGCCTGTCCGTTCTCTGTCGTGTAAAGGTCACTAACAGGATGACGCTCCAATTTCACGGTTTCGTGTTGCAGCTGCAAACGGGAAATGCAATTAGCGCGGCAATGTCTCAGCGGACTGTTAGCGCGGAATGCCACTGCGAATATGGATTACTGCTGGATAGTGGATACTAATTGGTTTAGCACGGAAATAATTATACCAGTCCGCCTGCAATTGTCTGCACAGCGCTGTCAAGCGCATTAAAGAACGGTAAACAGCGCCGCACTGGAACGGCAAAGCGACAGACGGAGTAGTAGCATCGGAAGATTCATTTTGATGGTAGCAACCACTTTGCGCTTTAGTCTACCCGCAAAATGTCGGATTCAGACGAAGTTACGTTTAATGTCAGCGGCAAGGTATTCCAGACTTCGCGCAGCACTGTACTGAAGCATCCAGATACGTATTTAGGCCAGCTTGTCCAATCTAACCTTCCGGAGTACTTTCTGACGTGCGATCCCACTATTTTTGGCCACATACTGAATTACTACCGGACGGATCTGCTGCATTTTCCCGAAGGAGGATGTGCCGTCGAATTTGATGAGGAGTTGGCTTTCTTCCAACTGACACCGGGATTATTCTGCAGTTGCTGCACTGAGCGGTACCGCACTCAGAAACGGAAATGGGAAGAGCGCCTGCTCAGCAATCCAACGGATAATGGGAATAACAGCGCAAGAAAGCCGTTTGACTTGGCGGTCAGAATTCGCGAAGGTTTAGATAACCCGATATCGTCAAAAACGGGCCTCGGCTGGTATTTCTTTACAAACGCCCTGATCGCAGGTAAACTGGTGAAATAGATTCCGGGAAACGAAAATGACGTGCTTCGGTTTGGTTTCTTTTTCTAAGCTTTGCGTGACTGAAATGTTTGACATCATGTACCTCGTAAGATGGGTGGAACCATGGATTATTTATTTTCACAGTGACGATGGGGTTTCACATAGTAGAAATGGGCATCTGTGGCACACACGACCAGAATTCCGTTACCTGTTCATCACTGTTTCGTCCTTTTCTCCGTCCCCTGGATGCTTTATATGTGGCTGTCTTCATTGTGGAGTACACACTCAGAATATATGCAGCTCAAAATACCGGCAAATTTTTGCTGAGTTTCCCCTCTTTCTTGGATGCGGTATGTAAACCAATCCCACCAGGGCCCGGTCACCGCCTCCCCCTTCAGAAAAATTTCATTTTTTGTTTGAAGACAGATTTGGTACTGGTGATAATAAAAAATGTAATTTCACCGGCAATGGTCCAATGGGAGTGGCCAAAAATAATTTAAATAATATTCAGTGCAAACTGTATGTATTGTCAATGTACGAGTACTTTACTGTGCTTATGCTCATACAGTCTGTACTTCTGGTTTATAAATTATTATGTTCCGAGGCATTGCTGTATTACCTGTTATCACTGCAAACTTGCCCCTTGACTAATTTTCAATTTTTAATGACTGCTTTTACAATAAAAAATTTCGGAAAATTTCGCCGGTATGGGATTTGATTGGATTGCACTTCTTTCTGTATTATTCTGCGTGCTGCACCGCGCAGGCGCTGATGGTTTCTCAGAGTTCAATAAGTATACGGATTTCATAAAAATTTTACATTGTCAAGCCAGTTTAATGAAGAAGTCGAAATAGGAGCTTTCAACAAAATGATAAAATAAACAGCGCAGAAATTTTTTTAATGGGAATACAATAGTATGTACTTCAAGCGCAGTACTTACTGTACATTGACAAGATATACCGAACATAAATTCGATTTTGGCCACGCCCGCTGGACCATTGCCGGTGAAATTATTTTTTTTTATTATTACCAGTGCCAAATCTGTCTTTGAGCAAAAAAGGAAATTTTTCGGAGGGGGGAGGCGGTGACCGAGCTCTGGTCAGAAGTACAGCTAAAACTGTACATAATATTATACTGGAATATTCACGCGCATATTACTGCTGCAGGTCTTTATCATCTTTTCTTGCCCAAGAATAATCTGGGACGCTGAAGTCCACAAATTCGATCTATTCGTAATAATTGTCGCTCTTCGTATGCTACGCGCCTGTCGTAAGTCTAAAGCGTTGTAGCAATTAAACTCTGTTTCGCAACAAGCTTTTGCCTTAAAAGCCATCAGTCCTATGCATAGAAATGCGGCTGCGACATTCTGCAGTTTATTTCGTAATTAATGAATTACAGATACGAGTACAAGCTCCGTCATAACTGCAGCTCAATTTCAGGATTGAGAATTCCTCAACCCACCGTGAAAAACCGTGCCGAGGAAGCATTCTTTGCTTTTTTCCTGCAAATCATGAGCGTTTTGATGCTGTTCGCCTCCGTAATGATGTATTACTGGGAGAGACGTCACCCTGGAACGCCCATTATTAGCGGCATAACCGCCATCTGGCACAATGTGATGACTCTGGCGACTATTGGGTACGTTTAATAAGGGACACACACGCATCGAAAACTACCCTGCGCTATAAATGCGCATACGTACTAGGCTATATCTGTATTATAATGTATATATGGCATTTTTACCGAACATATCCTCTATCTGTGTTAAAATGTCTGGATTGTATGGTATGCAGTACATATACTGTATGTATTGTACAGCGCCGGGAAGCCACCTTCGGGCAGTACATAACAAACATTCTTCATCTTTCACCATTGTCGTCTAAAAAATTTGTTTTATTTTCCCGTGAGAGTTTTTGCTCTATAGCACTTTTCTTAGTCTCTATGTAAAAATGTAATGGTCAACAAACGCGAGCTAAAATTTCATTTTCGTTTTCTGGGCGAAACTCACGTTGCTTATTCAGAAATAATCACGTTCATTCGTTAATACAGTATTTTAAAAATTGTTTAAAGTTGAAACGAGCAAAGCGATGGCGCGGTTTACTAATGGCTTCTTTCTCGTTTCCGTTTTATTACTCAGATCTGGCCCAAAGCGTCTAGTGCGCCCAGGAACTCCTTTCTTCGAACGGCTTAACATACAAGTCTATGGGAGATAAACATAGTCACGAGTACTCTTCAATCAATAATCGCTTAAGGATCTTCTGCTTATTCGTAAGAGGCACCTTCTAGGTCACTCAACAGTCTCCAGAAAAGTCCGCATAAACTATTGGTTGGCGAGTTTATGAAAGGTGCATTGATAAGCCTTCGAAAAGTGACCGCTCCCCCAACCCCTTAACAACCCCTTATGTCTTTTAAGCCATGTGGAAAGGTTTCGGTTTTAATAATTTTGGATTTTCGACGAAAAGTTACTCTAAAAACTTGCAAAAATAAATGTAAAAACCGTATATGGAAATATTTGTAATTTAGTTTGCAAAACTGCCCGAACTTGGCTGCACAGGGCTGCATGAGGAAGACAGGGAGCTGATGCATGACGCGTATAAAGGCTTGCTTAGCGCAATATGTAACAGCGTACGCAACAATTCTCTCTCTGTAGCGAGACAGCAAAATCGAGTGAAACGTTTTATTACAACATGGCCTGTTTTAGGTACGGCGGTATGAATCCAAAGAGTGTCCCCGGAAAAATCACCACGAACATTTGCAGATTATGGGGGGTGTTCCTTATGACGTCATTCTGGCGAACGATATTTCTGAACGCACGCAGGACTTCGGAGCACTATTATCGCCTCCGTGAAAAGGTGATTACTGGTCAACCTTATTGAGAAATGGCTTTGCAATGGTTGGCCTTATTTGTTTTCAGCAAAAGACCCGAAAGGACTCGGCTTGATCCTACAAAATGATGGACTGGAAATTTTTACTTTCTTGTCGTAATGTTTCTCGGGTTTACATGCAACAAAATCGCTGAATGCTCAGGGAAAATGTTATTAAAGTGTCAGTTTCTTCTTGCGCCTCCCTTCGAATACCGGCAACCGTGTGGTAATGGTCAGTGTGTTTGCCATTTATTGTGAGAAAAAAGTGTTAAAGCGTCAGACTGATCAGAGCGTTGAGTGAATCAGACTAACCATAAATCTATGCGTACATAGCTGATAGCATTTGAAACGCAACCTTTGGGAAAAATATCTGGATTTTAATAGGACACTTTTAGTCGGCTTGTTGGGAAAATAAGCCGGTAGTAAATTGTTGGCGATGACCTTTAAGACAATATCCTACTTTCCAGCACTTATTTTTTAAATTTTTTTAAGAGACTGGATTTCGTCTGCCTTTGAATGTATTTAGTTTAACCGCTTGCGAGCGACAGTCCGTTCCGCAGAATTCACACATGCTTTGCGGTGCCCAACACAACGTGCGCGATGCCCGGCCGGAGAAAAGCAGCGATCGGAGCTGCTACAAGGTATAATTTGGGCTGGAGCGAGTACGTAAATCTGCAACCGGTGTATCTTGATTTTAATTTGATAATAATATAAAAAATAATGAAATTGAGTGCGTTCCATCGTGGAGATGCTGCAGTATGCAGTGTACGCCGGTAGAAAGAGTAGAATTCTGCTCTTCCCGCACGCAGACCAATAAATAACGGTTGCGTAACGCGAGTAGCCCTCCACTGGCGGCACGGAACCATTAGAAGATGGTGATCAAAATGTCATAACGAAATTACTGCACCCATCACTCTCAATTTTTCATTTACATGCGTAATCCGCAACAGCCGATCGAACATTAAACTGCAAACGAGTCAGGCATGATACGACTTGCGGTTTACCAACTCGACGGCTGGGTTATTAACAGAAAAAAAACATTAATTTTGGCGCACAATCACACAGCTATATGCCGGGATTATAAATGAGCCTGCATGGAGGGCATTCTAACTGCGCCATAACACTCTTCCGGCGAACGCAGCAACACTTATAAAAGTCGGTAGCGACCTTAGTGTTAATCATCGGCGTCCGCTGTACCAAGAAGAGAAAGTGGATCAGGCAGGCGGAAAGTTACACCTTAGCATCGCAGGAGATCCTAGTCTGCATTACAAAACGTCGCTTTCCGTTAAATACGGTGGTCACTAGTAGCCAGTCACTGCTGTATCTTGCTGTGTGGCTGCTTTGTTTCAAATTGCAGAGGTGCGAACGATGAACGATATGCATGGCCCTGACTTTAGCGCCCGACAAAGCCAAACATAACTTGCTCGGAACGTTCACTTGGTTTTGATGCAGATTTGCAAACAATAATGTGAATGCGATAACATGCACGTACTAATCTCTAGCGCTGTATGATGATTCTTATTAATTTGATTTTTCGCTACCACCAGTACAGTATCGGTAATTTTTTAAGGCACTGGCATTAGCCAGAGCCTACAGAGTAGAGGCACTGGCAAAGCAAGAGTTACTCAGCAGCATATACGTAAGTTCGTCCAGATACGGTATTTCTGTCAATAAATTGAGTTCTTCTTTACTTACCGCGTCCAAAATAATCATAAAACGTAACAGAAAGATGCAAGCTTGCGGAGCCGTACACATTTTGCTGGCGTATTCAATCATGATTACGGCTGTGTATATAACATCCAGGCGAAGAACAACTTCACTGAAATGCGCTTGTGCACAAGAAATTGGCCAGTTTTCGTGTCCGCATATTCCACGAGTACCAGCTTCCAATAGGTGAATGAACATATGGGAAGCTGGTACCTGTGAATGAACACCGACAATGTAGAGATGATGATTGCCTGATTACCTTCTTATAAAATTCTACAGAAAACCATCTTACAAAACTGCTCCTAGGGCTATGTAAATGCCGGAAGCACACGCGCAACAATTTCAACACGTAACCGGCTTCAAAAGCTGCCTGATAGGATGGCGCTGGTAAGAAAGTTTCTTACCAGCGCCATCCTGTCAGGCAGCTTTTGTAAAGAAAGTACCCGGCCTTGCTAAAACCGGTCGACATGAGATTATAAAACAAACTTCCAGATTTTGTCCCGCAAATCCAACGGCCGTCGTGTCCCATTATCGTACAGCGCTCTACAGAAAACTCGGCTGTTGAAAACGACGGGCAGCTTATATGGGCTTTGGATCGAATCCGGCAACATAATACCAGTGCCCGAAAGAGCTGATTTATCCGATTAATGATTATCAACAATTTTGAGTTAGAATTATGATCCTATAGATCCGGTAAACAATATGATATTGAATAATTAACTTTGTACTCGTATATCGTAGCGGATGGCTGATGGCTCGAAAGGTATCTGTAGTCGGTAATCCGCTTCTGATATGCCATGTATCTCAAGTTTCATAATTTTTCTTGTTAATTAATTTAACACCGTAATCATAAATTTAACATGACACCATCGGTGATCTAGTATTGCTGGTCAGATTCGTGCGTGATCAGCTCGCACTATTATGGATTTAAACTAAATGACGAGAACTAAGAGAGAATTGGGATGAGTGGCACATCACCGATAAAAGATCAACAACACCATTTTTGTCCAGAAACATGGGGTATCTTCCAGTACTTAGTGTGAATACCGTTGTGCCTGCGCTAACAGCCACGATACCACACAGTTCGGTAGATTCGATGGTGAGAAAGTTCACGCAAAATTCAGATAACATAGATTGTAAGTATGTAAAGTCAATATGACAGCCGAGGGTGGACCACGACTGCCGTCGATTTCGACTACGTTCTTTACGTAATCGAAGTATTTGTGTCATGTCTACCAAGAGCGGCATTAGATCTGTAATGGTTTCACAGTTGTTGCGGAATACAGTAGCCGCACTGAGCCGGCAAACTGTTTGAGCGGATACACCGTTTGCCATTAAATCCCGAAACATACGAGTATGAGCCATCAGTACTGCAAACAGTGGTTTTTGTACCCATTTCAATAAAACTAATCTCCGCGATACGGATTTTTTCGGACGAATATGCCGCATTTCTTTTTCGCATACGCATGCTTTTTTCAGCAATGCACATAATAACTGCTTAAGTGGTGCGACATTTCGTCGAACAAATAGACCGCTTGTTATGGGACACTTTGCTGCAGAAACTTTGCCGAAAATTGAACCCATCACGAGACTTACTCGTAACAAAATATAAAGAGACATACTGCAATTCTATTAATTTGTACAATATCCCGAAAATACCCTGATTTCTGTCTGCTCTAAGCATTTGTGCGGTATCTACTCTTTCTAACTTTTTCCAAACCTTCCAATTTGTAGCCTTCGTATGTGCCCTGGTCAGAGGATCAACGTTCCCGAAGCATTCCGCGAAATGACGTTAGCCAGTCCTTCCTGTGCATTTCCGGAAGTAACGCTACCGGATGCGCTGGCTTACGAACGAGAACCGAGAACAAAATGATTGAGTTGCGCGCCACCACCACGTTAATTGGATCGGCGAATGAACACCGCCTGTCCGTGCTCTATCGTGTAAGGTCATCCGCAGGATGACGCTTCAATAATATATTTAATTTCACGGTTTCGTGTTTCACCTGCAATGGGAATCCAAGTAGCGCCGGAGTGTCTCAGCGGACAGTTTCAATGTTAACGCAAACTGTCACTTCGAATACAGGTCTACTGTTGGATAACCCATTAATTAGTTTAGTACGGAAATTATACAAGTCAGTCCGCAGTGCACTTAATCAACGGTAGATAGAGCGAGGCGAGGCGACAGACTGACTATTGGCGTCGGATCATAAATTTTGGAATAAATTCAAAAACGTAGTAGATCGCTTTCAATCCACCGGAAAATGCCAGATATAGTTACGTTTGATGTCAGTGGCCAAATGTTCAGGACCGAGTGAAGTAGTTGGCTGAAACACCTTGTACAGATCTGGGCGGTCTTGTCACATCAAATCTTCCAAACGTTTTTATTGAACCATAATTCTGCTTTTTTGGTCATATACTGAGCTACTATTACACGGATTTTCTGCATTTTCCCGAAATATAATGCGTCACAGCATTTGATACGCACCCGAACAACTGGGAATGTGACATTTCACCGCACTAAAATTAGATGCGCGAATTTTCGTCGCGAAGAAATTTTTCCACAGGACATACGGAGGCTGGGACACTTCGGTTTGGAACGTCTTGCTGTGAAACATTTCACCTTTGCAGCATTTGGCCGCAAGACATCTGGCCGCGGACATTTCGTAATGTTTTCTCATGTCTTCTTGTGTTTTCTAATGCTTTCTGATATCTCGACGAAATGGCCTCGCGACGAGACAGATGACTTGCGGCGTAATGTCCGGTCAAACAAATGTTTCGCGGCGGAACGTTCCATGGCCTGATAAACTTGCGGCGAAATGCCGCAGTCCCATTTGATCAGGCGTTGGCGGTTCTTTAACTGGCACCGAAATTAATCAGCGGCTGCTGCATTGCGAAGTGTCGCAAAGAAAACCTGAACTGGAGGATCCCCTGATCCGCAATGCAACGGATGGAGGGAATGACAACACAGGAAGTCCGTTGCATCTGCCGGTCAAAATTCGGATGGGTTCGGAAAATGCAATGTCGTCAAACACTGTCAAAAGTTGTATTTCTTTACAAAGATCCTAACAGCAGGTACACTTATAAAATAAGTATCAGTAAATCAAAATGACATGCTGCAGTTGTATTTTCTTTTTGGCGCGTCACATGACTGCCATGTTTGACATCTTCTAAGGTGGTTTAAGTGATGGACACTTTGTTTTCACAGTGATGATGGGCTTTCACATACCGCAGTTGAAGCGGCGGGCACCTTCTGGCACACACGAACGGGAAAATTGTTGTGCACAAGTAATTGAATGCTGCAGCATTCAGTTTCCTGTGCACAATAATTTAGCCGTTTTCTTCTTTCCCTTGATGCTTTGAAATTGTCAGCATTTACTGTAAAATATGCCATCAAAATATATGCATACCAAAGACCGGCACATTTCTTTCTGATAGCCTGATGGTGAGTTTCGTTCTTTCTTGGATGCGGTATGTTAGTCAAATCTCAGAATTATAGCTACAACTGTACAGATATTGGAATACTCATGCATATTATTATCTTCCGCAGTTCTTCATCATTTTTTATTGCCCAAGAATAACCTGGTATACTGAGGTCAGCCAATACAATTTATTTGCATTAATAATATTATTACGAGGAAGTCGTATTGGTTGATTTGTCGCCGCGCCAGTCGCAAGTCTAAAGCGCTGGAACAACACTTCTTCGCAACAAAATTAAGCCTTAAAAGCATCAGTTGTGTGCATAGAAAAGCGTCTGTAGACTTGTATGCATTACCGAAATTTACGAATTATCGGCTTCCGGGTTAATGTTGCTTACATGCATTTCACGATTGAGAAATCCTCAACCCACCGTGACGAACAGAGCCGAGGAAGCGTTTACTCTATTTTTTCTGCAAACAAGAAGCGTGTTGGCATTTCCTGCATTTCAGACTCTTCTGATTAGTCGGGTGGATACTTATTTTTTTGAGCGGAAACTCTGCGCTAATAACTGTAAAATAATTCCTGCACAAAAAACGAAAACGTTTGCGTGACAAAGGAGCGTTAATGAGCTCGGTCTCATGCCCATCGATATACATAATGTTGACCATCATTAAATCGTCGCAAAATGTTACATACATGTATATTGATGGCCAGGAGCTCACGGAGCTCTGGGCGTAGATGCGAGCTCTAGCTGCAATATCACTACTTCAAAAAATGTCATATTATAATATGGGCTTAAACCCAGGGCGCCGTTCACTGGAAACCGAGAAACGGCCGGAAAATGCACCGATGGGGGAATCGAACCCCGGCTACGTCGTTAGATCCGCGTAGGCAGTACCACTGCACCACGGCGTAATACGGTGAAATCCTTTGAAAGACTATCGCTGTACGTAAGCCGCTTCTCTCCTCACATGCTGAAGGCTCCCGACGCGTTACTTTCATTTATCTGGGCTCCCGCTCGTTAAAACGGCTGCAAAACAGCAAGCATCAAAGTAACCGCGCAAAATGGCGGTTACGCATACTTCCGGCCGTATTGGCGGTATGGGCACCACCGTTGTGCGCAGTTACATGGCTATGCGAATGTAATTTATTAGGAGCCCATATACTGTCTATGATTTATCAAAGTATGCAGTTCAACATTGAAATTACAAATTGGATAAAATACTGTACTTTTCAATTTTCTGTGGTGCAGTATATTACTGTATATTGTAGGTACTTCCTAACCACACGGATTGGCTGATGGTCTCTAATGGAAAGTTTGAACACACGGCTAACCGCTATTCGGGAAAGCCGGTAGTCATATGGCCGGAAAGCCGTTAAGGGACACTGGGCACTAGCGGAATCGTATGTCAACGGAAGTACGAAAAAATGCTTGGCAGTGTTTGCCCAGCTAAAAGAGAACCCACCGGAAATATCCTTCTGCGTAAAGGAGCAGTACTACTCAGTGTGTGTGAGATGCACTATTACTTTGTATGCACCATTGTATATAGATGTATATTCCCGTTTTCACATTAATTACCCTTAAATAAACAACTCTTAGCTTACTAATGTATCTTACAAATAAATTTTTGTTTTATTCCGCATTGGCAGCGCACATACCAACCAGCGCAGGTTTTGACGAATTAATATGAATGAAATTCAAACACTGAAAAAAAATCCAGATTCGGTAGTGTTATCCGAAAATTTAGGACGCGCGCGCTCAATATACCCAAAACACAAAATGGCCAAAATGGAA